AGATAGAAAAATGTGGGTTAGACAGCATCACCACCAGATGGATTCTTAGCTGGCTGACCGGTCGTACTCAGCGTGTGGTCCTCAATGGAACTGCATCTACATGGAGGGAAGTGTGTAGTGGAGTACCCCAGGGCTCTGTTCTGGGCCCAGTGCTCTTCAACATCTTCATCAATGATTTGGATGAAGGGATAGATGGGGAACTCATCAAATTTGCAGACGACAACAAGTTGCCAGGAATAGCCAACACTCCAGAAGACAGGCTTAAGACACAAAAGGATCTGGACAGACTTGAACATTGGGCACTGTCTAACAAAATGAAATTCAGTGGTGAAAAAAGTAAGGTTCTACGTTTAGGCAAGAAAAACCGAATGCACAGGTATAGTATAGATGGTACCTTGTTCAATAGTAGTAACAGAGAGGGATCTTGGAGTCCTAGTGGACAATCACTTAAATATGAGCCAGCAGTGTGCTGCAGCTGCCAAAAAAGCCAACACAGTGCTAGGCTGCATTAAAAGAGGGATAGAATCAAGATCATGTGAAGCGTTAATACCACTATACAATGCTTTGGTAAGGCTGCACTTGGAATACTGCATCCAGTTTTGGTCACCACGATGTAAAAAAGATGTTGAGTACAGAGAAAGAGTACAGAGAAGAGCAACAAAGATGATTAGGGGACTGGAGGCTAAAACATATAAGGAATGGTTGCTGGAATTGGGTATGTCTAGTTTAATGAAGAGAAGGGCGAGGGGGGACATGATAGCAGTGTTCCAATATCTCGGGTTGCCACAAAGAAGAGGGAGTCAAGCTATTCTCCAAAGCACCTGAAGGCAGGACAAGAAGCAATGGATGGAAACTAACCAAAGAGAGAAACAACCTAGAACTAAGGAGAAATTTCCTGACAGAACAATTAATCAGTGGAACAACCTACTTCCAGAAGCTGTGAATGCTCCAATACTGGAAGTTTTTAAGAAGAGACTGGACAGCCATTTGTCCGAAATGGTATAGGGTTTCCTGCCTGAGCAGGGGGTTGGACTAGATAACCTCCAAGGTCCCTTCCATTATTATTATTATCGTTATCATTATTATTATTATTATTACTACTACTATTACTACTATTATTATGCATAATTAACAGTACATGCAGCTGCACACAGCCTCAGGAAAGTGGAATAGTTGCTTGAGCAAATACTCTACCCAGATCACACTCCCTTTCTTTGGCATATTGCTCTGCCAATCTTTTGTGTTGTACCTGCTACATTCCTGGCTGAGCTAAAAACTGCATACCACACCATTCTTCCCTAAATGCATCAAGCTAGAGCAGTATTTCTCTCTTCCAAATGTTAAGGTTTATTATAATACAAAATACAATGAAAATTAAGATTTAAAAAGGGGAGGGACAAGGGTTGGTAAAAAAAGAGAGAGAGAAACATTGACTTTCCACTCTTTTCAGTACAGTGAATACTAACTACATTTACAACCTCAACATTTTGCATAATTGTAATAATTAGTTATTACAAATCATTTCTATAACAACACAATTATTCAATCTTCAAAGTCTAAGTTCCTTCTTTTCCTGTTTTGAGCATAAAACTCAGAAGTAATTTCCCAATGGAAACAGAATAAACAGAATAAAATCTTCTCTGTTTAAAAAAGTTAAATTGCCATCTCAATTTTTCCCCATCCATTTTTTTCATTGTGAGAAATACTATATCTTTCTAGCTACACTTAAAATATTTTCTGCAGTGTTATGTATAATAACAAAAATTACAATGCTCTTTCAGTGGAATTCTGGGAATTGAAGTCCATACATGTTAAAAGTTGCTAGGGTTGAGAAATTGTGAGTTAAGAATTGAAAGAGAAACAAGGCAGGTTATTCTAGCAGCAGATGTAAATAATGGCTCCTGAAGAGGGTGACCTCTTGGATGAGAGATGACTTGGAGGCAAGGACTGGATATCTGCAGGACTTTATAGACAACCATTAGATTGGCAACAAAGAGATTTGTAGTCCCATTTAGTAAGGGGAGGGGGTTTCTTCTGAGGTTGGAGGGTAAGGATCAACTAAGAAGGTTATATGTGTGTGGAACTGAGTGAGTGAAAGAATGTGAAAAAAGAGGGAGAGATGACAGTTTTGTGTGAAGAGAAAAAAAGCATGTTGCTTATTGAATTAAAGAGATAAGTATATTCTAGATCAGTGATGGCGAACCTTTTAGAGACCAAGTGCCCAAAAACTGCCTCGCCCCTGCCCCGCCCCCCGCCTCTCTTGCCCACAGGGCCACCCACGGCCTGCCACAGCAGATCGCCCAGGTGGCCCAGCAGCATCATGGCGGCCATGCCCTTTGTCCACACCCCACAGCATCATCTGTACGTGATGAGGCACAAGGGCAGAGTCTTGGCCCGGCTGCCATGTCCTTGGCTGCGCTGCTCCGCGCAGGCTGCGCCCAGGGCGACTCCAGGGGGGTTGCTGGTGAGGGGGCCATGGGGGCTGGCGGGGCTGGGATGACGATGTGCGTGCCCACAGAGAGGGCTCTGAGTGCCGCCTCTGGCACCCGTGCCATAGGTTCGCCACCACTGTTCTAGATTTTTGTTCAGAAATCCAAGAGCCGTTTTTCCTAGAAACAGTGCTGGTTATTTAATATACCCCAAATTCCACAGTGAAAAACTTAATTTAATTCATAATGTCAAAATCATACAGCTGTATATTATGATTGGAAAGGATGAGCATCATGGATTCTGAGCCTGGTATTGCTGTCTTGTGAACTTTTAACAACATTTTGGAGACTTATCTTTTCCCTTGCTGATAGACAACAGCTGCTGGTACCGAGACAGATACTGACTCCTCTTTCCTGTCTGTTAGGAGTCCTGAATAGTAAATGAACCTGAACCCCTCTGCCATTGGCCACTAGGGAGCGTAGTATGAGAACCCTCCATCTGCTTGCCTGGCGAGAAATTAGAATTAGAATAATAGCGTTGGAAGGGGCCTTGTAGGTCATCTAGTCCAACCCCCCCATCCAAGCAGGAGAGGGCAGGGGAGAGTGAATATCTAACACCTTACTAACACTGTAGGAATCTGGAGTGTAAACGTAGAGCTGTATGAAAAACAGAATGTAAACATGGAATTTCATTAGATCTCCAAATTTTTTGAAAAATTTGAATTTTTTTTGAAAAAAAGCATTGTTTTTATATTTTAATTTTTGTCTGCATGCAATCTAGCAGATGAATGTTATGGTAAACTTGGAATGATTTATGTTGGAAATAGAAATATAGTATATATTGCTTTCTGCTGTTGATATGGACAATATATAGTGTCCATAGATATTCAATTGATGCAAATGCAAAATATCACCTTACATGTCATCTGATTATTATAAACATTTTCTTGCAATGCTGCTTCTTGTTGGTTAGATATTAACAGTGAGGTAATAAATACTGCCCTTAGAGCTTGTTGATGTCATCCTTCTTGGGATTAGGCTAAGTGCTTGATACTGACTATGGGCTCAGTTTTCCAACAATGGACCTTCAAAGGTGATAGGAAAATGTACTAGAGATGAAAAAAATAAATTATTAATACTTTATAAAAATATAGGTCACTAGATTTCATACTTTCATACTTAACACTTGGAAGCATTTGTAATACATGAGTGTAATACAGTCTTCACTTCTTTTTCTGTGGATGCATTTTATATTTTGTTTGGACTATAGATTTTGTTTGATGCTAAAGAAGCTTTCTAGGCGCTAAATAATACTGACACTGAAACTATAATATTAAGCCTAAGAGCAGTGAGTATTTAAATATGTTGGCACATTGGATAACGTTGTAGCTTACTTTGCTCCTTTTATTTTCTTGTTTAATCAGTTGTTTTTGCATTTTATATATTTGATCTATATCTTCTTAATATGTTCGCCGTGCTTGCTAATATATTCTGGTACTCTCATCCATTCAGAGGTGTGAGCTAAAACCTGAAAGGTATACTAGATGAATGAAATTAAAAAGTATAAGAAAAAAAATTATATCCTTATTCTATTTTGAGAATTTGAGAAAAAAGTCTTTCTGTTACTTGGAAAACTGGTTTGGAAATTAATTTTGTGCATTGCTTTCATTTTTCCATTCCCACATTTCTTTTTACTTATTGTTCATCCAGTCACTTCTGATTCTTTGCTGTATGTCATCTTTTCACCAGGATTTTCTGTCAGTTACTTCTTTGGGTTCTTGTAAGCTCTTGCATGTGTCAACAATGACATCATCTAGTGACCTTGTAGTCTGTCAGACTCCTTTTTTGCTTGCCTACAATTTTTCCAAGTAGTAGGCTCTTCTCCAATTATTTTTGTCTTTGCATTATGTATCTAAACTATTTAAGCCATTGCTTCATTATTTAAACTTCCAAGGTATTTATTATTTATCAGGTTTACTTTGTAATGATAATATAGCTTATTAGTTCCTCATTTTATTTAGTAAGGGCATTAGAAGTGGATTGGAAAAATTTGGGCAGATACTGGGAGGCAGAAAAAAATACCAAAAAACTAATACTCTGTGCAGCATTTATTTGTCCTGTTCAAACAGGAACCATAGGTTGTTCACCCCACACTCTGCCAGGATTTACTTTAAATATGGCTTGAAAAACAAAACCCAGATCAACCTGGTTAACATAAGGGTAAGTGCCAAATCATGGTTTATGAAGCACTATGGCTGAATTAGCATATCATAATTAGTGAAACTAAACAAATCACAGTGTGGTGTAGTATGATACATAAACCTAGTCTTCCCTTACATGGTTATTTTCCACATGTAGTACTTTTTTTATAACATACAGAATAGCTTTTGGCATTGTAATAATGCAAATATTTTCAAAAGCTTATTTCAGCTGTCTCTTGGTAATGAAATATGTTGAATAACTTTCTTTCTCTCTCTCCCTCCCTCCCTCTCTCTCTCTCTCTCTCACCCTCCCCTCCCTTCCTCTCCCCTTCCCTTCCCTTTTTTTCCTTTCCTTTCTTTTCCTTTCTAGGATAGAAAGTTGCTGCTTTGTCTCAGGGAAATGATCTGCAGGATTCTTTTTCACCAATGTAACAAATGAAAACAATGGGCAGATGATATCAGTTAAACTGCATTTGGCAGCTAACTGTCAGACAGCAAACAACTACGTAAGCAACTGCAATCCAAACTGCAAGGATTTTTACTATTCCAGGCATTGAGAATTATGTGCAGTGCCTGAGTACTCCGAGTAACTACAGTTTCTATGTAGATTTATAATAATGTCTGTTAATGCCACAGAGAGTGACATTCCTAGATTTTTTGTGGGCGGTGAAGATGGGGAAGAACTTTTGGATTGTGCCAGATCTTCCGATTTTGTCTCCTTCTACGATCCTGAGGATGATGATGAAGAGTATGATTCTGTATGTACTGTGTTTATTTTATTTTTATTATTTAAAGCATTTATATAGCTGTCCATAGTTTTGTCTTTAGATTTCATTATCTGGGGTTATCTAGGGATTTTAGTGTTTTGCTACAAGTAACTTATGTATCAGAGTTTGGAAGACTTTCTAAAATTAAGATTTTTTTTTTAAAATGGACTTTTGGTTAATAAGTAAAATCTAGTATCTAACATTAATCCCTCATTCCTATAGTATCAAAACATTATTCATACTTTGCATAGAAAATAGTTTCTTTTCTGTTGAAAATAGTTCAGAAATTTCTCCTCCATTTGTGGAGTTGAGCAGTGCAAATACCATCTAAATACAAACTATGTAGATACAGTTCAACAATGTTTCTCACCATAATTGTATTATAACTCATTAGAAGTCCCATTGAAAATTAGGGTGGTTCTACAGATTGTGCTTTCTATAATTTTATAACCTAGTGCACTGGAAGATGTTTTCCTCTCAAATGGTAACTTCAAATTTATATAACGTTTTTTAAAAAAATATTGTGAAAGGGGCATAATTGTTTTCTTTTCTCTATGCATCATAAAGTTTTTTCTTTACGCTATTTTTTACTGTATACCGTATGCAAAATTAAACACTAATTTCCAATTCATATTTTATTCTTAATAAACCTATGAACTTGATAATATAATCATAAAAATCGTTTATCAAACAAGAATAGAAACATTCCCTTAATAATTATTATTTTTCTTAGCCACCAGAAAGACAGATCATGGTTGGAATATGTTCTATGGCAAAAAAATCAAAATCAAAACCAATGAATGAAATCCTTGAACGGCTTTCCATGTTTAAATATATCACAGTGGTGATATTTGAAGAAGATGTCATTTTGAATGAAGCGGTAGAAAACTGGCCTTTATGTGATTGTCTCATTTCTTTTCATTCTAAAGGTGATTGCTTTTTATTCGGAACAGTGTAAAAATTTCAGAACTATGAAAAGTTCAGCTACAATTTTGAGAATTTTTAATAATATTAAATGGTGTTATTGAAATCTGTCTTACATTGAACTATATTTAAAGAATAATGTATTGGAATTATTTAGTGGTATGTAAGAATAGATGGAGTCCAGTGTTTCAAAATAAATACAGTACTGACAGATTGATATTATTACAGAAAAATGTCATCGGTCCACTTTACACAACAGTTTAAAATACATAATAATAATAATAATAATAATAATAATAATAATAATAATAATAATAATAATAATAATAATAATAAGTTGGAAGGGACCTTGGAGGTCATCAAGTCCAATCCCCTGCTCAGGCAGGTAACCCTATACCATTTTGGACAAATGGCTGCCAGTTTCTTCTTAAAAACTTCCAGTGTTGGTTAAAAACTTCCAGTGTTAACCTTGGAAACAATTTATGTCAAATTATGCTAATGCTAATTTTGGAAAGCAGTAAATAGTGCATGGACGCATGTATATAACAAAACCTTTTGAGCCTTTAAATTGGTTTAAATTAATTTTTCTTCTATTCTCAATTTCCCCATTTTTTTGTTGTTTTGCTATTTAAAAAATGTTGGAATTCTAATGAATGCTTAATCACACTAATGTTTTGTCAGAAATAGGTCCAATTCAGTGAAACTTACTTTAAATTATTGTAATGTTATTTTCTCCTTGACTTTAAAAAAATGTTAATAAGATACTAGATTGCTGATTTACTGTTATATTTAAATTGATAGTTAACTGATATAGGATACCTAATGTTTCAGTTGAACAAAATGGGGTAAACAAAATAGAGGAAAGTTTTAAAATGGGATAGATGAAACTAATCCGAGTAATTATATAGATGAGGGAATTTAAAATAATTTCTAAACTTATCTAAAATAAATCAATTATGAAAGTATAAATTGTAATTCTTATGCATTTAAGAACTATGTAAACGATTAAATATACATTTTCTTTGCTACATTTTCTTTAGGATTTCCATTGGACAAAGCAGTTGCCTATTCTAAACTCAGGAATCCATTTGTTATTAATGATTTGAATATGCAGTATCATATACAAGACAGGTAAATAAATAACTCTGCTCCCTAGATGTAAATGCCTGTTAAGGTATTTTAGCAATAGCAATAGCACTTAGAGTTATATACCACCCCACAGTGCTTTACAGCCCTCTCTAAGTGGTTTACAGAGACAGCATATTGCCCCCAACAATCTGGGTCCTCATTTTACCAACCTTGGAAGGTGAGGACCGGTAAGAATTGAACTGCCAAACTGCTGGCAGTTGGCAATCAGCAGAATTAGCCTGCAGTACTGCATTCTAGTCAGTATACCACCATGGCTCTTTTTCCTTGCATTTTGTTAACTACCAACCTGCAAGTGTGCCTCTAGTGCAGAGGTCCCCAACCTTTTGGGCACCAGGGACCGGTTCCATGGAGAGAGGTTTTTCTGCGGACCGGAGGGTGTGTGGTTTTGTGTGCTGCCTGCATCTTGTGGATGGGGCTTTGCTTGTTTGTGCGGACCGGTTGCTGGCATGCCGCAGCCTGGTACTGGTCCACGGACCGGGAGTTGGGGACCCCTGCTCTAGTGTACTAGGATGATCAAAGTGGAACATTAATTACTGTATTGGCAAAGAATATCCTCATATTTAAAGTAATTCTAAAAATGTTTAATTTTCAAATTTACATTTTTCAAGGTATGTATTTTGTTCATCTTTATTATCTTTTATTAACACGTCGCTCATTTTTCTCAAGGATCTTTAGTATTTCTAAATGATTCCTCCTCTTCTTTTTTCTTTTGATTGTACACATTCAAACTAATTCCCTTGTCAAGGCCGTATCACTGTGGTTATTATCAGCATCAAGCTGTTGCAGACGAAGTACAGATCTTAAATGTATGTTCTCCATGGCAACATTTTCTGGATTGATAATTTCATTTTCTAGACTGCAGCAGTTATAACCTTCAGTGAGAATTTGACATCAATAATGCTAACCTGAAGAAATAAGTGCTCAAATTCAGTTGTACAATTATCCTCTAATCTGATTGTACTTCACCAAAATGCACAGTAACTTGGGAGAGGAGGCTTTTGTCCTAATTCCCACCGTCTTGTTTTTTTTCTCTTGTGCAAATAGGCATATGTAATACTTTAAAACTGAATTAGAAATGTACTATGTTTAGGACTATAGGTTCTACATTTTGCAACATTTTGTTCCAGCTCCCATTTTTAACAGTGTAACTTTCTAATTAGATATTTGTTGCAACTTTACACAAAATTTTCTGACTATCCTGTGATTTTAATTAAGAATTATTAAAAGTTATTTTCATGTTTTTTTCCAGTAGTTGCAATGTTTTTTTGGGATATATTATTTCTTTTCAGGAGAGAAGTTTATGGCATCCTTAAAGATGAAGGCATTTTACTTCCTCGTTATGCAGTCCTAAACAGGGATCCAAACAATCCCCAAGGTAATTATATTGGCATTTCAAAGGACTTCTCTACAAACAGTTGTTCTTGTCTGTTTAATAAAATGTTATTTTTGTGGCTATAATCAACATATGAATTGGAGGTGGAAGATCGCATGGGTGTCTCTGTTACAAGGTTAAAAAGAAAAAGAACTATGTAACTGATAGTATGTAATAGCTTTTTTAAAACCATCCACTGTACCCAGTGGAACTTCAGAATAAAGTTCTATAGAAATTTACTTCATAAAAATATTTAATTTCTTTTTTTTTACTAGACTTACTAAACAAGCTGTACAATGGTTTCTTTATTTCAGAAAACTTTAGAAGTAGATGCTTTTTGTCAAAATGATTCATATTTTATGGGTATATTCTTTGATCCTTCTTTTCCATAGGCTAAACATCTACTTTACTTAGGGAAAATTGGTTCCATTGCTCCTTTTATATCCTTCAATGTTCAGTTTCCTATAATAGCAAATACAGAAAATATAATAAGTTTTGGTGTAAATATTGGCAGAATTTTTGTTTTTAGGCACTCATTTATTTTGGCCCGCAACAATATTAATGGTTTGTTTGTTTGTTTGTCTGCAAATAGCCTTCATTTTAGTTAAAATGTTACAGCTACCCAAAGAACACTTTAAGGCAATGTATCCACAAGCAGCTGCATTTTATCCACAACACACAACTGCATTATAGTCACAAGCCCACTGCATTTTATCAACAGCCTCTTCCTTATGAACAATGAGGTTGCAAATCATAAATGTATGGTTTGTTTTTAGATTATCATATCATTCAGCCTTGGTGTTCCTTTTAAATGTAACAAGAGAGGGAACCCATGGCTTCTTCTGATTTTCCTTTTCTGGCTTATGGCCAAAAAAGCTATCACTGTATTCAAACAACATAGCAATCTAAAAGTAGTCAGTAGATAGTGTGTCCATGTTGTTGCTGGACAGATTAATCTTTTGGCACACTGATATCCAAATGTGTCCTACGTGAAGTAAAGTTAGGCAGTGCAGGCAATTTAGTTTATTCTGTCTGCTCTTTTTAATATTCTATTCTTTCTAATCTTGCCCTTCCATTGCTCTTCCATTCCAGGCATCATTTCTAGGGCTATTCATGATTTCAAAATTATTTGGAAAGCATGCTTTCATTTGCACAGCAAAAGTATTGTAGCATCTCAGCAAAATAACTGTATCTTTTTTTTTCAGACATCTCTGAAATTCTGAAAAAAAAGATAATGGCTGATTTAAAAAAAGATATGGCTGATTTAAAAAGATATATCTGAAAGATATGGCTGATTTAAAAAGATATGGCTGATTTAAAAAGATATGGCTGATTTAAAAAGTTATGGCTGATTTAAAAAAAGATATGGCTGATTCTCCTGAGTCCACCAGGAGAAGGGCGGGGTATAAATACAATAAACTTCAAACTTAATGAGTTACTGCAGGGGTAGTCAACCTTGGCTCTTTTATGACTCGTGGACTTCAACTCCCAGAATTCCTGAGCCAGCTAAGCTGGCTCAGGAATTCTGGGAGTTGAAGTCCACGAGTCATAAAAGAGCCAAGGTTGACTACCCCTGAGTTACTGTATCATAGCATATGAAGAATCAGCTAAGCTTCAATAAATGCTCAACAGATCCTATTACCATTTTCTTCCACAACCTCCCTGCTTTGCTTTTTATAGCACTTCCTCCAATTCTTCCTCAACTCATTCTGATTTGCCTCTCCTTCCCAGGCATTACCATGGTCCTATTTCTGTCCCAGACTGGCTCTTTCAGTATTCATTTTTTTCTACCTTGTGACTTCCCACTTACTTTTTGTTTGCTTAATTTTTATGGTAATGATAATAACAGCACACTTTAAAGCTTGGAAGAAATATTTATTTGCGCTAGAAAATTGATTTATGATAATAACTAAGGAAACAGAGTAAAAAGATAATCTGTACATACATTTATTACTTTATTCCTGTATGGTCTTGACATAGAAGGCCTCAATAGGAAAAAAATGTTTGCTTCCCTCTGGCTTAGTATGTTGAGTTTCGAAGTTGCTGAAGTTCATGAGTTCAAATACATTTAGAGATTATAGCCAGTTTTCTTGTCTCAATTTATAATGGAATTTTTATCTGTGACTGAAACCTGAAGTCTGCACTTATTTATGTTATTTTTCCAGAATGCAATTTGATTGAAGGAGAAGATCATGTGGAAGTGAATGGAGAAGTTTTCCAAAAGCCATTTGTGGAAAAACCAGTTAGTGCAGAGGACCACAACGTGTATATTTATTATCCAACATCTGCTGGTGGGGGAAGTCAGAGGCTCTTTCGGAAAGTAAGACTAATGTAAATTACACAAGAATAATCTAGTTTGCCCCTTCTGTGATGATGGTGGTCATGATTGGATTGAAAAGAATAGCATTCCATTCTGAGAGTTATCTTGTAAATTGCATTATCTGAAGAATTACAGGTAATTTGTATATCTGTGTTTCATAATGAGAGGTGGGATAGAATGACGCAGAAATAAGTAAGAACATAGTGGATACAAAAAATAGCTACTAAATACCACAAGATAGATTTGATCTGTAAACAAGTGATTAGATTATAGTTTAGTTTAGATTTTATTTTGTATTCCATCTTTCTGCTAAAAGAAATGTTATTGAACGTATTCCCCTTCCCACCATATACTGTAAATAAAAAAAAAATCAGGAATACCTCAATTATAGGAGTGATTCTCAACCTGTGGTCCGCTGACCCCTGGAGGGCCATGGTTGTCATCACGAGGTCTGCGAAGGCTTGAAGAAATATTATGATTTAAATCTTGAGTTAAGTTTTGGTGGTGCGTGGCCAGGGTCCATGGTTGCACAAGGTATTTAAAGGGCGTCCATGGTGAGGAAAAGTTTGAGAACCACTGAATTGTAGTATTCCTATCAGCATGATGAGTGCTTTTTGCCTTTCTCCCATAACAGGATCAAGATGTAGAAATAAATTTTAAGTAAATTTTCTCTTCATAACAGGATAGAATATGCTATTTTCAATTTCTTTTCTTTATCTGAGCATTTTCAAATGATTTTTAAGGATTCACAACTCCAAGGAACAGGGTTTCCTTGAATCTCAGCTAAAGAGGGAGGGGTTTCTTTTTAAGAATAGTGATTTTGTTTTATTCAAAAAAAATGAATTAAAAATAAAGGATAATGTTAACAATAGAGTAAAAAGTAGAATATTTATTATACTGTATGTAGTGAAGCATGGTATTAAAAGCCATGTACTATCACCAGTCAATCCAATAATACCGATAGAGGAAAATATTTGTTCGGAGTTGAAATAAGGGTTCCTTGGTGCTCTGAGTCTGATAGTTTTCTTGCAGATGTTTCATTGCCCAAATCAAGTAGTAACATCATCAGTGCTAATAGGGAGTGGGGTTTGATCTCATTTCATACTCTAGTGGCCTTTCCTATCAGTGTTGGTGGGAGTGGTCTTGGTGATTCTTTATTGGGCTGTTTACTGTTAGCGTGGTTGTGGTATTGTTTAATTCTTGATTGTTGGTCTGATGTTAATCTTGATGTTAATCTCTGCTCATCTGAGAATTGATTGTTGGTAGGGAAGAAACAGTCAAGCTCAGGGAATGCTAAGGACCCCTCAATCCAATCCTAGGAATTTCTAAAAAATTAAATAGTATTTGAGAACCTGCATTTTATCCAAATAACCCCTCTGCTCTCATGTCTATTGTTAAGCCACTTAAAATGCCATTCCTTCAATTAAAAAGATAAAACCAAAGTTTTTTCTAATTATCCTTTTCCATTTATTAATTAAATGCAGTTAAGATTGAAAAGTGAGCAGTGACCTTTTTCATAAGGAGAAATTTAAAAAAATATCCTGTTCTATAAATTTAGGATATCGCAAGAAACCTTTCTAAAAGAGTTTTTTTTTCAGTCCACGCAGGCAATGTATTTTCCTTTTTCCCACCTAGTTGTCACAGTATAGTATGGCAAGAACGTTGCATTTTATTTTTATAAACATTTATAAATACACAGTATTACTTCAAAGCAGTTTTAAAGAAAAAATGTGTTTGTATTTTTAGCATAAAATAACATTGATCGAAATATGTATTTCAGATTGGTAGTAGAAGCAGTGTTTACTCTCCTGAAAGCAACGTGAGAAAAACTGGTTCATACATCTATGAGGAATTCATGCCTACAGATGGTACTGATGTGAAGGTATAATTGCATATTTAGGTTTAATTTTGGAACAATCAAATGATTAAGGAATTTAGCAACCCTGTGAAACATTTACTATTGCTGTAGTTAGATGTGAAACAATTGAATAATTTGTTTTCTTCAGTGAAATTTAATTGTTCTTAAAGAAATTTAAATATATATTTTGAAGAGCATGAGAGTGCAAATGAAGTATGTCTTTTTGAATTGTTGAAATACTTACATTTTCCCTGTGTTGTACAGCTGCATTATAAGCTGCTCCCAGCTTTTAAAAAATGATTTATTAAGGTTTATTATAGCATAAAACACAATGAAAATAAAGATTAAAAGAGAGGAGAGTACAGGATAAAAAAGGAGAGAAAAAAGATGTCCTTTCTATTATCAAATGCTATATAATACAGTAACCTAAGTTCATATATAAAATACTGTATCAATACAATAATCTAAGTGATTTGATAACTTTCTACACTTGTTGCCTCTCTGAATTACTTATCTTTTTTCCATTTACTTGAATAATTTGTTTGTCTTGCTCTCTTTGGACATCTTTGGAACATAGATGTTTTATAAAGTGAATTGTTTTGTTTAAATATTCCAGAATAATTTTTGCAATCTCTGCCTGGCTTAGATGCCTTCAATATTGCTTGGTCTTCTGTTCTTTAGTTCCTTCTTCTGATCAAAGAATTTTTTTAAATATATTTGTAGATCAGCTGGTGTCTCCTGGCCAATCAGAATTCACTAAAATTGGAAAATTTCAGCTTCCTATAACATACAATACAAACTTGCAAATTATAACTCCTTTTCCCCCATATATTTTATTGATTTTTTAAAACATAAATCACTTAATAGTTGGTAAACAGTGTGTTTGCTGGGTTTACATTTGTAAAGAAAAATCATTAACAATTGGTTTCTATAATCCATAATCCACATAGTACATTTAGCTGATTTCCCCTTTTCCCCAAGATGTCTTCTTTGCAAACCTTGAATTAATACAGTTCTTATTATTTTGATAAATAACAGTTACATATATTTTTCCCAATATTCCTAGAAATAATGATCACATCAATATAATATTTCTTTTCTATCTAATCATTCTGGTTGCCTCATCTTATATCCCGTTAAAGTCCTTATTTAGATTTGTTTCTCCCATAAAGTTCAAAGTATTCTTGCTGGTTAAGATTTTCTCAACAGTTAATTACATTTAAAGATTTAAATCCATTTTTTCCATATAAACCGTATCAACACTTTTACATTTCTTAAAGAATAGGTAAAAACAGTAAACAAAAGGAAAAGAGAGCAAGAGTAAAGAAACATAAAAAGTAAAATACTACTTAAAATATATATTCCTCCTAAGCTAATATATATTCATTCCCATAATTTCTTATTCTTTTTAACCATAATTAAAAATGTATTTAATCTTTAAATATTCCATTTAATATGTATGGTCATCTAATCCTTTAACTCTTATTCAAAACATTTTTGTACGTTATAATTTCCCTAAATATCTAAAATATTTCCTTCATCTAAGCCATTTCAACAGTATTATATTACTTATATAAAGAAATAAAATTAAAAAAGGGGAAAAAAGCATACAGTATTATTTAAGGAATTCATCCCTCTTAGAATGACATATGTATTCAGAAACTTTTCTATGTCTTTAAGCATATTCAAACAAATGTTTCTTTTTTATATATTCTCTCTGGTAGATCCCATCATCTATTTTCTTAATTTTCACTTTAATCATTTTCCTTTGACCAGTATCTTTCTTGATCAATGTGTTTTGTTGAATCAAAAAGTTTTTCCATATATTCATGACTGTTGCTGTAGGTATAAGACGCAAATCTAATAAAGTATCTTTATATGAGTCTTTTGCCTTTCCATGTTTCTTGAAAATCTTTTTCTTTTTCTCCTTCTTTGCTTCTCTTATCACTTCCTTTCTCTCTGATGTTTTCAACATCTCTACATTCCATTTTATCCAATCTGTTTTTTGTCCTCAGATTTATTTTGTAGTCTTAAGGGATGAGTTGTTTTTTCCATTTCTTGCAAATTTTTCCCCACTAGGATTAAATCATGTTTTTTGCTTTGTTAAGTTTCATCTTTGAATCTCTATTTTCAGTTTTATGTCCATTTATTTGTTTTGTCTGCTCCTCCTCTGTTGTTGTTTCCTGGAAGTTTTTTTGTTGTAGAGTTAACTTAGAAATAGATTGATTTATATTTTCAAATTTATTTTGGATTTCTTTGTGATTTGAACTCAGTGTTATTAGAATTAATTGCAGTATACTATATATCTCCTCCTGAGAAGTTTTTATGTTTTCTTGGTGTGTTCTATTTACATGTCTCTGATGCATGACGGCCAAAAGTTGAAAGTTTTCCTTCTTATCTGCAAATAACTTTAGAGTCCCAGTTAAATAGATATTTGTAATCCAAAAAGTTCAAAAAAGATTTTTTTTTCTAAAGTTTATAATTCTCTCTTTGTCTACAGCCCAGATTGTTGTCGTTTTTTGGCACAGCTGTTCTTTGTTATTAAAGCTTTGAAGGTCACAAACACAGATTAGCTTTTCCCAGGTTTTGGCAAGTTCTCTGGAAATATAATTGTCAGAATCTTCATCCACCACTAGGTGTCAGCATCTATTTAGTTTTCAATATGAACAATGGTCTTTAAAATGAGAGTCTTAACCATTCAACAATTTTAAACTTGTCCAAAGTTAAATTTTAGCTTTCAAGTGTATACATTTATTTCACTACCATATATTTTGATCCTCCATGGAAATTAATTCGCTTCTTCTGTTAGTATAAGGGTGGGGTGAAAGTCCCCCTCCTTCACTTTCGGAGGTATTTTGCTTCTTGGGGATCTTTCCCAGGAAATTAAGTGTAGAATAGAAAAGGGGAAATCAGATTCCTCACCCAGTTTCAAACACGCTGTTTACTGTTGTGCTGGTTAGTTCTTTTGGACTTTGGTTGCAAGTAGCTTGGGCTGATCGGTGAAATACAGTCTTTCTCCTATCGGGTTAGAAGGCTTTTCCCAAGATGAACGGAATGACCGCTGTCATTCCAGAGTCGCCAGGGCACCCTTCTTTCTTTGCCACCTCTCCAGGGCTGCTTGGACCCATTATAGTCTCCAGGCAGGATGAAAATTAGCTGCGGGCGTACGGCATTCCGCAAGCCTGCAACCAGTCGCTACCGCACAGGACCAGAAGTCTGCAAATTATAACTCTTAATGTCAGATAAAGTTGACAAATTCATGAAAATGACAACATAAAACACAACTTTTTAAATCCTTATATTTCTTCATCAAAATTTTTTAAAAAATACTCCACACTTCCTTATTTTACTTTACCTCTGGCAACCATTCTCTTGTGCAACGATCTCTCAAAAATGGCACAGATCTTCAGAAAGGAGTAATAGGTTGTGACTGAATAGAGCCTCTTTTAACTTACTAAATATAATCAATAAGGTGTTTAAGTGAAAGGCATGACTTATTGTCCATTTGGCTACTTTTTTAACAAGAACATTATTGCAGCCCCGCCTTCTAGCAGAATGACTCACCTGGCTACTTCTGAATGCTGCTCTAGACTCTCATTGCTATATCTTGTAGGATGACTGTGGGGCCCTCCCTAACCTAGGAGAGTTGTATAAACTTAGGCAACTCAGTTTCCCGGCTTGTAAATTGAAAAAGCTTCAGTCTGGAAAGAGCTATCCAGACTGGTAAGCTGGCCATATACACTAGAAGCCTCACTACCAACTCTTTATTTTGCTTTGCAAATTCACCATCAATTTGCTTTAGCATTTCAAAAAGAGGTTTTATGTTAATGTTCCTGAGTCCACCTTCCAGTGAATATGCACAGCCGTATTAAAAGTTGTTTATCAATTATTTCGATAGCATTGTTAGTTCCAATTCTAAGAACATTTAGAAAAGAGCATTCTACTTTCCCATTCTTTAAAAATACGACCTGTTATATAAATTTAACATTTCACTTCTAAAATTACTTGAGAAAATTCATTCCTTTAAATGTAAATTATTTCTAGGGAATCTAATAAATTCCAGACTTAACCATCTTTAGGACAAATCAACTGAAATAAGTAGGATATAGGTTCTCGCCATTAGTAACATTAAAAAATTGTAATCTGTTTCAGGATGATCAGTTAGCTAGTAGGTAAATGGTAGGACACACTATAGGCTTTTAGCCAAGGGCTCTGGCAGTTTTATTTACATTCTAGTGCTTTTCAGTTTGTCTCCTTTTCACCATGGAAATGTAAAAGCATAAATTAGGAGACTTGGAGATGGAAGTGGCTGTGAAGTGAAACTATACCTAATGCCATGTATTTAACCAAGAAGATTTTACTTTCTTTGTCTTTCCCTTTACTCTCAAATTTAGGTGTACACTGTAGGTCCAGATTATGCACATGCAGAAGCACGTAAATCCCCTGCTCTGGATGGCAAGGTGGAACGGGATAGTGAAGGCAAAGAAGTGAGGTATCCAGTGATACTTAATGCACGGGAAAAGCTAATAGCTTGGAAAGTATGCCTAGCTTTTAAGGTAACAAGACTACAATAACATTACATCTCAAAGAAAATTATTATTTCCTGAAATTATTGCCTATTCCAGGGTCTGAACCATTTTCAGGTCTTGGGTACCATTGAGTGATTTCACATGATGGACCAAATAACCCTTCCTCCCAAATGGTCAAATTTCATGAAATTTAAAATGAGAATGCTAATCTCATAAAATAAGGCCATTAAAAATAATTGTTCAATTTTACAAAGCAAGTTCTATTTTATGATATAGCAAATAGCTCAGCATTGGTACTATCATACTGCTGACCCCGGCATCAAAAATGTGTAGGAACTCATTTTTGTTCTTTTTAATACAGAGGGTATCTCCTGCTTTTCAATTATTACTGTTTTTTTGTGTTTGTTTCTCCTGCTTTCATCAGCTGAAAAAATCTATTAAGAAAATCTGTAACGAAGTCTCTTTACATCAACTTGGAGCAAGCCCCTACAAATAGATGTTTGGCATTTCTTAGAGCTGTTTGTACTGTTAACCTGTTTTATAAAGGTATTTTGGAATTTTAGAAAGAATAGGATAAGAATTTAGAAGAATGCTAAATTCAAAATGAGATGTCTTTCCAAATGTTCCATTTAAGCATAGATTAAGACAGGATAAACATTTAAAGAGATATAAGAAAACAGAACACAATCCTGTGATATTTTAGATTATTAATATGTGGGATGTTTTGTTTCTGCTACATATAGTTATTGAGTTTTAAATGTCTATAGATAATATTTTGCAAGTTTTGAGCATGTTGTTGCTTTCTCTGATAGCAAACAGTTTGTGGATTTGACTTGTTGCGTGCAAATGGGCAGTCCTATGTCTGTGATGTCAATGGCTTCAGTTTTGTGAAGAATTCAATGAAATATTATGATGATTGCGCTAAAATCCTTGGGTAAGAGTTTAAAGAACTTGAGTGGGCTCTGGGACATTATTATTGACCTATAAGCATATTTGGTTTGACTCAAATTCCAGATTTTTCCATTTCCCATGTTTGTCATTTTTGTGCTATAAAACTTAACAAAAAAAATAATTTCCTAATGATGCTTTGGGAGAACAACGTTGGATAAGATCTCAGGAAGTTAGCCTTTTAAGAGAGTTATCAAGATGTGCTTACTTTGTTCAAAAGTAGGTTTTGCTATTCAGGAGTTACTAAAAATTATTTATATTGTGACAATTATACTAGCTATATAGAGCACATGAATGCCCTAATTAAGAAACTTGCACATTTTTAGAAGTCTAGCTTTGAAAGTGATTTTTGTGGAATAAGGAACTTCCATAGTTCCATAGCTTTTGATTTCCTGACAGACTTCATAAATATGTCCTCACTTCACCATTTTTAAGTAGAAGTCTTAATCTGTTAAATGATAATGATTGGCTATTCTCAAAATTGTTCAGAGGAGTTTTCTTTACTGAAATGTAAAAAAACCCTAATATGTTTAATTATTAAAATTATAGTTAGATATTGCTACAAATTATTCATTTCATACTATATAAATATTATTCAGATAAATTAAGACAGTTTAATAAGTCACTTACTTTTCCTCTTTCAGAAATATGGTTATGAGAGAACTTGCTCCACAATTTCGGATCCCTTGGTCTATACCTTTGGAAGCAGAAGATATTCCTATTGTGCCAACCACCTCAGGAACAATGTAAGAAGAAAATACTTGCATAAAATTACACCAAGAATTTTTTTTCTTATCCATGTTAGGTTCTGTAAATATACATATTCCATAGATAGCAATTTGTCAGGCTCATGGAACCAAGCACAACAGAAGGATCTACTCAGAATAGTTTCTGAGTTTATTGCTCACCAATAGCCAGTAATCTTGACAGACTGAAGCACAATCTGCATAACTATTAGATAAACCTTGTGAAAGATTAAGGAGGATTCTCTCTGGCTCCTTCCTGCATGCCAAAGATTCCAGGCTGATTTGCCTCTTTGGTCCTTGGGAAAGATCCCTTCCTCATGTGACTTTGCACCATATTCCACCACATAACTATAGCAGAAGAGCTGAGCCTATCAAGTGGAAAGCTAGATATCTCCAGTCCTCTTCCCCCAGTAAGCCTGTGGACTTCACATTTTGGGTAGGCCTCTTGCTTTAGATTATGGGCTTGGTAATTCTCTCACAACCTGTACTGTTAAAAATGGCAAAACAAATAAATGATGTTGATAATATAACCTGCCCGAGTGACATACAATCATCAGACTAGATGGTACAATCTTTCATTTCATTCCCTCTATAGAAAATGCGTCACTCAGAATAAATATTTACTGTCTAATGCAAGACTTACCCCCTGTAGTATCATGAACACAGACTTCTATTCACAAAAGTAGTATTTTATGTTCAGGATTAAATGCGGCTACACTTGCAACAATTAAGAGTTTTTAACTCTAGATATCTTTCTTGAGTTCAGTGAAAATATTTTATTTTGAATGGACTTTAGATCTACTGCAAACAAATGCATTCAAACTTAGACCTCCACCCACTTGCCCAGTGCCATATTGAGTTGTTCCCCAATTCCCATGCTTAACTTGTTGGAGGTAACCTTAACTTAAGTTTGGGTGTTTTTCAGGAATATGAATTTCATAAATTCATAGAGTTGGAAGGGGGCATTTAAGTTGTTAGTCCTATCCCCTGCTCAGTTTGGGAATCCAAAATAAAGCATCTATGATACTTGCAGTCTCTGCTTACAGTATATAGTATAGCATATAGCATATAGTAAAGGCAAGCCCACCATTTTTCTGGATAATTACTCCATAGTAGTAGCTGTTTTATGGAAAAAGTTGCCGTTGACTCTTTATTCCAATTTAAGATGCTTAAATTGGATGCTTACTAAGACTTTTTAGACTGTGTGTGCTGGTGGCTTCTACAGTTTAGTATATAGTTTGCTTATCACTAAATCAGATTGTTTCAATTCAATAATAAATAGAAACATATAATCATATTCCTTATATATTTGCAGGATGGAGCTTAGATGTGTCATTGCTGTAATACGGCATGGAGATCGGACACCAAAGCAAAAAATGAAAATGGAAGTTAAACACCAAAAGTAAGCACCTGGTGATAAAAAGAAATAGTGAAATATTTAAGTTGAATACTTTTTTGAAATTTAGGATTTGAGCTAAGAGGCGTTATACAACAAGTGTCTTCCACGTATGTTGGGACTGTTACTTCTGCTTGCAGACTTGGAATCCTCGGGATTATACTTTAAACATAACTGAGGGGCATCACATTGGGAAAAATCCTCCTAGATATTTCTAAATTTGATGAAATTCTTATGATATTAAAGTACAATAGGATACAACTGTGAAGTTTGTAGGGGTAAAGTGTATGGTCTAGGGCTGCTGGAGGAACTGATGGCGTGAATAGAAGTATCCCAGGGGATGGACTTCCTGGTTTGTGATGTGATTGGGACTCTTTAATCCAGAGATGGGCCAGGGAATTGGGGGAGGAGGAGATTTGGGGGGTGTTAAGGATAGGCTAGAACATATGTATGGTAATGGTTGAGGAAGGCATAGTGGGAGACCATGGGAGAGGGCTCACTTGGGAAACATAGCCCCTATGCTTTTCACAGGTATTTATTACATTATAACACAGTTTGTTTGACCCCATTTTCTGATCAACGGGCCGTCAGAAGTCTTCTGAATCAGAGTTCAGTCTGCAGTAAGGCCTCCTTTACCAGTGATCTATCACAAATAAGAGAGATGACCTAGTGTTTAATGCTGAAACTTGGATGGAATCTGAGGGAGGTGTTCCAATCTTGAGGATGAACCCACACAGGTTTTACTTTGTGCCACCTGTCAAGGCCCAAGAGCAGAGGGAGAAGGGGCTATGTTTATCCAGGATTGGTGGCATTCATAGATTATTGAATGTAAGACCCTGTTTATTGGATTCTAGGGGTCATTAGGGATTATTGCTTTTGTACCAGTCTCCCTGCTATGGACCAACCTTCCTACCTTACCGGCTTGATTTAAGTAAAAAAAAAATATGGGGATAGCGTATGAAGTAGCATGGCAGTTCATGGTAACTATGATAGCTATGGGCATGATATAATTGGCAGTGGTCACACATCTGCTCTGATTTTCTTGCTGAAGCAGTGGCAACATGAACTGGAGTTGGGGGAGACTTTTATTGCTCTTCTGTCATGGTTAGATTGCTCCTTTTAACATCTACATGAAACTACTGGTTAAGGTCATCTGACGGCATGGGGTGAAGATATCGTCAGTTATACAGTATATGCATCAGCTTTTATCTCTACCCATGGCTGACCAAGCAGTACTATGGAGATTCTGTCTCCATGTTTGGAAACTATGTGGTCTGGATGAGGAAGGACAGGCTTCAACTCAACCCAGCATGCAGAGTGGCTCTGGTTTTAGAGCCTCCAAGACACAAGGTTTTCTATCTTTAGTTCTGGAGGGTATTGTAGAACCCCAAACAGATGCAGTGCTATTTAGCAGTCTTTCTGGGCAGTGTTTCCTGTTTGAGGAACAGGTGGCAGCTGCAGACAGGAGAGCTTTTGGTCAGCTTTGTGTTGTGCTCGACCTGTAACCATTACTGGACCGAGATGTTTTGCTCACAATCATTCATACTATAGTTGCCTCCCAAATAGATTACTGTAAGGTGCTTTACATTGGGCTGCTCTTGAAGAGAATTAGAAACTGCTGTTGGTTCATAATGCAGCAGTGTGGACAATTATGTGTAGGGTCCAATCTGGATTGGTCATCATGGGCTCCAGCAAGAGTCCAAAAGCTCAGAAGACAAAACCACTGGTCCCGGTGACTGATCCAGATTAGATCCTGCAACATTATCCTGGGACACGTATATTCGCCTTCATTTGCAATTATGTGTGCTCTTGACTGGTCCATGTTACACTTCTGTTCTATGAGAGGCATTGGTTGCCCTCGTGCTTATGGGTTCACATAAGGTGGTGGTAGTTACCTATCAAGTTCATAGCATGGGATGGGTTATTTGGGGGACCACCTCTCCCCAGTTGTGTTTACCTTTCTCATCAAATCTGGTGGAGAAAGCATGCTGCGGACTCCATTTTAAAGTGTTACATCTGGTGGGACCCAAGGAGAGACTGTTTTCTGTGATGGCTCATACACTTTGATTTATCATCCCTCAGTTTTGGCATAGATTAGTCCTAATCCTGTTTATTTTTTTATAAGTCTTGAAGAGTTGGCTATGTGATTGGGAATGGAGGTCAGAATGTGGCACAGCCTGTGGGATGGTTAAGCTGACTGTTATTTGTTATTTTTACCATGACTGCTGATTATGTGCTTATGTTGTAACACTGTGTTTTTAATTGTTAAAAGTCGTCATGATGAGATGGGCAGCCATATACATTGTAATAAATAAATATTTTTTTAAAAGAAAATTGAAATTTTCTTCAAAAAAATATAAATATAAACCTTACTGAATTTTCATGTAATCCTAATTCTAGTATAAGATATTATTTTTTCTGAAATGAATACCAGTTCTATCAATCAATTCGTGGGAAGTTGATATGTGTGCCATTATCACCCGGTGATGCTGGAATCTGTATGTGATTATCTTGTGAAATAATTCAATCATTCTCTATTTCTTTTAAAGATTTTTTGATCTTTTTGAAAAATGCAATGGATATAAATCTGGGAAGTTAAAGTTGAAGAAACCAAGGCAGCTACAGGTAAGGTTTCTGGGTTTGTTTGTTTTTTTAAACTTTTTTCTTCTCTAGACACATGTTATTATCCATTTTTATGAACTACTTGTAAAATTGCCACTGTTTTCAGGAAGTACTTGATATTGCAAGACAGCTCTTAATTGAGCTAGGACAGAATAATGACTCTGAAATAGAAGAAAACAAATCTAAACTTGAACAGTTAAAGACTGTATTGGAGATGTAAGTATTTTATTTCAATTATTTTGATGTAATAAAAACACATTTTAGAATGACTATGTAAAGATCATCTGATGTTCTTCATAGCTAGATCTATAACTTTGGAACTAGTCTAATGTACCTTGTTAGATTAGTTGCTGATTCTGACTGTTTTATTTGTCTTAAAGGAAGTGGGTTGTATTAGATTCACTGAGAAGACAATAAAGAAAGCAGAATATTTTTTCTTCTATTGTTTCTTTAAAGGATTGGAGTCAACCTCTTAATTTCATAATACCTTTCTTTTGAAACAATCATGATATTTTCAAAAAGTGGGGCTCCCATTTCTATTTTGAACAAAATATACAAGTAATGTTAATAACTTGTTTGGGAGCGGCACACTGACCTAGAGGTGAAGCCACTTGCCTCCCACTCAGAAACTTGAGAATTCAATCCTAGGCAACGACAGATGTTTCTCTGTCAGTATGCAAAGAGAAAATATCTGTTGCGAACTCCGCTTAGGCATCAGGAAGGGCATCTGGCCAGTAATTGTTCAGCTCCATTCAGCCACTCTGACTCCACCCCGATAAAAGGAATTACAGGGTCATAAAAATAAAAAAAATAAAAACGTTTCAGAATGCAGAAGAGATCAGGACCTTTTTAGAACAATCATGTCTTTTAGCAGACTTCCATGTGAGCAGAAAAACATGCTATTTTATTTATTAATGCAGCTGTATCTTTAATATGATTCCTTAAAACAATTGCATCTGTTTCAAGCTTCTCTGTAGAAAGTTTTGACTGTTGTAAAGAGGTCCTGCACTCCCCCTTCCCCATTTTAATTTAATATAAGATTTCTGCTGAATCTGCTCTACTTTCTAAGCCATATTATACATATAATTCTCGATTTACAATCATTCGTTTAATGACTGTTCAAAGTTATAACAGCACTGAAAAAAGTGACTTATGACTGGTTTTTTTTTCACACTTACAACCACTGCAGTATCCCCATGGTCATGTGATAAAAATTCAGACACTTGGTAACTGGTTCATATTTATGGTTGCAGTGTCCCAGGCTCATGTGATCACCTTTTATGGCCTTTTGACAAGCAAATGGGGAAGCCAGATTCATTTAACAACTGCAGTGATTCACTTAACAACTGTGTCAAGAAAGATAGTAAAATACAGCAAAATTCACTTAACTGTCTCACTTAACAAAAATTTTGGGGTCAATTGGGCTGTAAGTTGAGAACCACCTGTACACATGCACATTACACTCATTAATTAAACTTTTTCTGCATGCATGAAATCTTTTTCTATGAGGCCAGTTTATTTAAATTATGTTAATATTACAATCATTAAAGGATGGACAGAAAATTATAATAGAAAAGTAATATGTGTTATTGCTCTTCTTGAACTCTGCTAATAGCATACGGCAATAAACCCACAGATAAGCAAGAATTTTAGGTGTCAAAATGCATCCCAAAAAACAGGTTTAGTTCATCCACAGATAGGCTTTTCCATGAATATATATAGTAAAGTACGTGTGAAATAAAAAATGGTAAAAATGCCTTATCTGTGGGTGACACATTTTTCTTGGTATTTTGGTTAAAAATTTGAACAGTAAACATGATTGCTTTCTCTCCATACAGCAAAACATAGTTTCTTGTGGCTGTATTGTAGTATCCCATATTATCAACTCATCTGATTTGTTGTGTTTCTTTTACCAGTATTATTCATTTATGCTATTCTCGTTGTTTTTAGGTATGGACATTTTTCTGGCATAAATCGCAAAGTACAACTGACATATCTTCCTCATGGTTGTCCTAAAACATCTAGTGAAGAAGAAGGTATTTTGGTTATTTTTAGGAATTAATGTGCATCAATTAGTTTGTTTATTTAACCCTAGGAACACAATTAATGTCTTTAGAGCTTTGTGAAATGTCAACAGGGTTAGGGCCAATCTGATTATTCTTTGAATTGATCAGTAGCTTACATTGAATTGATTAATGTCAATACATCAATTCAGCTTATAATATTTTCTTTTCCATTATGGCTAGAGTTAGGGCAAACTTTATAGCCAAAATCCAATATAATCGAACTGCAGTTCTGAACAAATTTTGAATATAAGTAAAAAAAAATATCTTTTACTTGCCTAGATAACCGCAAACAAGAGCCATCTCTACTCTTAGTTCTCAAATGGGGAGGAGAATTGACACCTGCAGGCAGAGTTCAGGCAGAGGAACTAGGAAGAGCTTTCCGATGTATGTATCCAGGTGGACAAGGTAACTGGTTTTTATTTGTAATGGCTGGAAGTCATATCTATGGAAAAAAGAAGATCTACAGAAGAGATGAGAAACTTCATTGTTTTGCTTTGGTAGGTGACTATGCTGGATTTCCAGGATGTGGCCTACTTAGATTGCATAGTACTTATCGGCATGATCTCAAAATCTATGCATCTGATGAAGGAAGAGTTCAAATGACAGCTGCAGCTTTTGCAAAGGTAGTATAACGTCAGTAGAAAATATGAAGTGTTACTTGTGTATAGATTACTTGCAGGAAGAGTTCAGCTCTTTTGCATTTTTATATTTATATATATAAAAGATAACTTCTTCCATTGTCTCAATGCAAAGTGGACTATTTCATCAGTACTTAATCAGCACCAACGTTTTTTCAGCCAGTTTTCATGAAATGTTTAAATTGCTTCTTTATTGCATATAAAATATATATTTTAGTATGCATAAGGAATTGCATGCAATATTATACAAAAACAGATCTAAAAATAAAAATTGCGTGCATGTATTTCTCTGAGCCTAGTTAATTTGAGTCTAATTAGAGAGCAATTATATCAAGGTTTTTTATTTGATTTATATCCCGTCTTTATTAGCAATACATTTTGAAATGAAATTAGATAATGAGTTGTAGATGTTCTCAACCAGCCTTTCCCAAATTTGGAATTTACTAGACTAAAATTTTAATTCACACAAATCCTTTGCCAAAATTTCATAATGGATTGTGTAAGATGACATATCCATTTCTAGTTTGTGTGTGTGTGTGTGTGTGTATGTTTGTGTCTGTTTTTTCTTCCCTACTTTCTCCACAAGAACCACCTTGTAAGGTGGACTGAGTTGAGAGAGTGTAATTGACTCAGTCACCAAGCCAATTTCCATGCCTAAAGGAATACTAAAACTTATTGTGTCCCAGTTTATAGTCCAGCATCTGAGCCACTAACTAAACTGGCTCTCCTGTATGAACTAATTCATTTCAAAAGCTCGATCTATGATGACCTATTCATAAATGCAAATTAATACTTGAACAACCAATCATCAAGTTCAGAAAATGCCTTTTGATCAAAATGAAATGATTTAGAAGTGGTAGTGCAAATCTCAGTGGCTATTCACTCAACATACTATGTCTATTAATTTGTGTTTCAATTAGCTGAATTTATACATCATGGCAAGCTACAAACCTTATTTAACAGACTACGGTGGCTAAGTTCATGCTATATGTTACCCCAAAACCTGACAATATTATTGTTTAGCACAATAATTGTCGAACAGAATTGTGATTGTTTTTGTTTTGCTTAATGCTGTTTTTATTGTGTAACACTTTATAAGTTTGCATGGTCTATAACAACAACAACAACAACAACAACAACAACAACAACAACAACAATAATAATAATAATAATAATAATAATAATAATAATAATAATAATAATAATAATAATAATATTTATTAATGCAGACTACCTTATTTAACAGACTACGGTGGCTAAGTTCATGCTATATGTTACCCCAAAACCTGACAATATTATTGTTTAGCACAATAATTGTCGAACAGAATTGTGATTGTTTTTGTTTTGCTTAATGCTGTTTTTATTGTGTAACACTTTATAAGTTTGCATGGTCTATAACAACAACAACAACAACAATAATAATAATAATAATAATAAAGTTGGAAGAGACCTTGGAGGTCTTCTAGCCCAACCCCCTGCTCAGGCAGGAAACCCTATACCATTTCAGACAAAAGGTTGTCCAGTCACTTCTTAAAAACTTCCAGTGAAATGCTTGGAGTATTGTTCCTCATTTTGGTAATCACATCCCAAACCCAGATTAGACAGTTGAAAATGGTGCCTAGAAACAAAATAAAAATGAATTTGGACAGCTTTAGAATTATTTATTTTATCTATATGTAAGTTGTAATGCAGTTCTTCTATCAAATTCATAATGGATAAGACAATCACCTATACATTTTATATATTCTGTTTAGTTTGAGAATTAATATATTTAATTCTATTCAGTAACTTTATTTTCCCCAGGGTTTGTTGGCATTGGAAGGGGAACTCACACCTATACTTGTGCAGATGGTCAAAAGTGCTAATATGAATGGTCTATTGGACAGTGACAGTGACTCTCTTAGCAGTTGTCAACATCGGGTGAAGGCACGCCTTAATGAAATTCTCCAAAGAGATAGAGACTTTACTTCTGAAGACTATGAAAAGGTTAGAAAATACTCTACAGATGAATTAAAATTGTGAAAGATTTTACAGGAAAGGTTGTACAAGGCTATTTGGAGGAATATGTCAGGTATCTGTTGGACAAAATTGCTTGAATCCACTCCCAATTGCACGCCAGCCTTTATACAGGTCCTGTGGCGTGCTTAGGTGCAGTCTTGCTGTGTTACTTGATAGGAGTTTGAACCTGTTGGGCCTTATGAAATGGACAGATTTCTCATGAGTGTGAGATTCATGCCCCCAGGTTGCCTACATCCTAGGAGAAGACTTGGCTGTGATGAATTCTTCTTAAAGAATTGGTTCATCCACTCAAGAAGCCATCCATTAGACCAGTGGTTCTCAACCTTTTTAATGCCGCGACCCCAACCGGTCGTAAGTCGAGGACTAAACCGGTCGTAAGTCGAGGACTAAACCAGTCGTAAGTCGAGGACTACCCAACTGGTCGTAAGTCGAGGACTTTCCCTGCCCAGGAGCGCCGTGCATGCGTGGTTCCGCCCCCTGCGCCGGCCGAGGCGTAGCTGGCAAGCGGCAGAGACGGAGCAGGCCAACCACCAGCTGGCCCAGCCCAAGGGAGGTAAGGCACCCGCTGGAAAAGGGGAAAAAATGGCGGACAAAAAAAATGGTGGACAGCCTTGCTTGGCGACCCCCATGAAATGGTCGATCGACCCCAAATGGGGTCCCGACCCACAGGTTGAGAACCACTGCATTAGACCCATTCATACCAGACAATTTTTGTTCAGTCTCCAGCCTTACATGTTTAGAAAAGGCAGTTATACAAAGCTTCAGAGTAATTTGAAAAAAAGGTTATCTAGACCCCTTCCAGTCAGGTCTCAGACCTTGGTATCGAATTGAAACAGGACTGTTGTCACTTTTGGACGACTTCTAGTATAATGCATTCATTCTCCTCTTGACCTCTTGGTAGCATTTGATACCATCAACTATGGTATCCTTCTGAATCCATATTTCTGAAATCTGATTAGGTTTAATATTTTGTTTACATGGATGCTTTATATGTGTTTATGTCTTTTTTATATTGCATTTTGTTTATGTGGTTGTTTTATAACAATTGTAAGACATCTAGAATCATGTACTTGAGATGTGTGACTGTGTAAATGGAAGAAGGGAGGGAGGGAAAGAAGAAATATAAACTGCCCCCAGGAAGGAGAAACCTCCTAATCCTCTGGAGACAGTCCAGAAAAGTATCGTGGTTGATCATATGGAAAGCTACTGAGACATCAGGAAACTAAAAAGGTTGTACTCCCTGATCTTGATCTCTCCAAAGATCGTTCACTAACACACTAGGAGTGCAAATTCTATGATGTGCCTTAGTCTAAAGCCTGGTCAAACTGGTATATTTCTTGTAGCCTTCTGTAGTTCTTAAATACAACATATATGTTTTAGTATGTAGCTGTACTTACATGATTTGAAATATTAAAGTACGGAGAGTTAATGGAAAATAAGGCAAAGATGGACATCAGTTAAGTTGGATTTTGTCAGTTAGAACTAATAAACAAAATTGTTGGATATAGTAATTATTTGAAATTAGTATTTCTTTTAGCATAGGATTTTTAGTAGTATACTGGTAGTCCTCGACTTACGACCATAATTGAGCTCAAAGTTTCTGTTGGTAAGCGAGACATTTGTTAAGTGAATTTTTCTCCATTTTATGACTTTTCTTGCCACAGTTGTTAAGTGAATCACTGCAGCTGTTAAGTTAGTAACATGGTTGCGAAGTGAATCTAGCTTCCGCATTGCCTTTGCTTATCAAAGATTGCAAAAGATTACATCACCCCAGGACGCTGCAACTGTCGTGAATATGAGGCAGTTACCAAGTGTCTGAATTTTAATCATGTGACCAGGGGACTACTGCAAGGGTCATAAGTGTGAAAAATGGTCATAAGTCACTTTTTTCAGTGTCATAACTTTGAATGGTCAATAAATAAACTGTTTTAAGTCAAAGATTACCTGCATTTAAAAGATAAGTCAAAATGCTGGTTTTATTTATAAGTTTTTCTCATATTAGCATAGCACATTTTAAAAATACGTATTTTTCAGAGATTAGGATATCAGCTGCTATACATGTAAACTATAAGTATTATAGCTTACATATTTCTTTTTGGTCTGGTACTACAGCTGACACCATCTGGCAGTGTTTCTCTGATAAAATCAATGCAAGTGATAAAAAATCCTATTAAGACATGTGATAAGGTATATTCTTTAATCCAGAGTTTGACGTCTCAAATCAAACAACGAATGGAAGATCCTAAATTTGCAGGTAAATAGTTTGCTTGATCAGACTGGATTGATAATATTAATTGCGTATATTTATTTTATAATTAATTGTTATGACACCTTTTTATTCAGGAGCAACTTTCAGAAAAAAAAATTGTAATAGTTTGCTCAACGACTCTTAGCTACTCTAATATAGTAATAGCAAATTAACTTCACTGATGTAGATTGCTATGTAAGTAAAATAGCAGTAACCTTGCGCAGGAAAGAAGATAGCAATAGGCTTAGTTAAGTACCAGATTTGCAGAAGTACAAACTATTTTAGTGTGGATGTGTAAAAGAAAAAAATAAAACAAAACCGAGCTGTAAGAAAACTGGTTGCTCTGAAGCTTAAGGAATGGGTAGAAATATTTCTTTAATGTCTATTGTAACATTCCTTTATGTTACTTTAATCAACTCTCATTATTACTTTTTAACAATTATTTGTCCAACTAGATATTCAACTTTATCATAGTGAAACATTGGACCTAATGTTGCGTAGGTGGGCCAAGCTTGAAAAAGACTTTAAAACAAAGAATGGAAAATATGATATAAGTAAAATCCCAGATATCTATGACTGCATAAAATATGATGTTCAGCATAATGTCTCTTTAAAGCTAGAAAATACAATGGAATTATACAGACTGTCAAAGGCTTTGGCTGACATTGTGATCCCTCAGGTATGTACATTGCAGCTTACATAATACTATCATTAAAATAAAATGGCTATATTCTCCAGACCAAATTTATTGACTGTTAGGGAAATGAATAAATTTACTGTCTAAAAATGCATTTGTAGTTTATAAAGCAGTTTTTATGAATTACCACAAATTGAAAAGCAGTACCTCTTTCCCTTATTAAATTGAGGAGTCTGATATTTAAAAAATGGCATGTATCTTGTTGACATTAGACTGAATCCAGAATAATAGTGCAATTTTATATTTATTTACTCAGTTGTGGATCCTATACAGTTGATTAGATTTTCTCCTGGATGTAGCCTTGTATCCAATAACTAGATTATTTTAATGTGGCTTCCAATAGAATCATGGGGCATATTGCTTATATCCTGTGATTAACTCAGATCTACTCCCTAAGAAGGAGCAAAAACAAGGTTCAAAAAATTAAAATATGAGGATTACATGATACACTATTCAGAATATGAATCCATTAAATGAAATAGGATTGTAATGATACCCAAAGAATATTGCTAAGTAGGTACTTTAGTAATATACAGTAAACAACAGGATCATCTAGATTAGAGTTAATGGAGCTATAACAATGATCATCAATGTTAAACAAGCAGTGGAACTGATGGAAGACATTGAAAAAAATATTTGACAAACCAAGGGTTGCTAAATACAGCATCGAGAAAGCATATAAAAGTACTAATGGGTGATTGGAATGCAAATGATCAATGAAATGGAGGAATTGGAATTATAGATGGATTTGAATTTGGTTATTGCGGTCATGTATGGTCTTAAGTTACATTTTGGAAAGAGAATTATTTTATTACCAATAGCTATTTGATTCATACAGAATAAAAAATAAGAGTACAAAATAACAATTATAATATAAATTTTGTTATTATAAACAAGATAACCATACAAACTAACAAAATAATGTTTATGGAACAACAAAAAACACAGACCCTATATTCGGAACTTAGCAAATAGGCAGTATTATCATCCAAAACAAAAATCGTGGTGATTTTGCACCTGGAAGCCAATGTGACCAAAATTGAGACTCATAATGAGACCTGTGTCTTCCTCATTTTGTCTAAAGTTCTTCCCCACCTCCCATGGGTTTGCCCCTCCCCCATTTTAATCAATTATTTTGTTTTAATTGTTTAAGAATTGAAGTGAAAGTTTTATCACCTCATGATATTATGATGATGGGACATAAATAGTGGTGGAATTCAGCCAGTTCACACCAGTTCGGCAGAACCGGTAGCTATTTTTTTGTTGCCCAGGCCCAGAATGGACTTCCGGAAGCAGCAGCCACACAGAGAACCGATTGTTCACATATTTGAATCCCACAACTGGACATAAATGATCCCCTGTAATATCCTATCCAAAAAAATGGCATGTTTTTAGCCATAATGTCAGCAAAAAAATGAGCTTGTCTCCACATCTTTATTACAGAGAAGCTCCAGTTTAAATATCTCATCTGAATCCAATGGTGATTTAAAACCTTACTTAGTGTAATATAGAGGTAAGGAAGGAATAACTGATTCTCTTTCCAGTGAATATTGTATCCTTTACCTTTTGTCCCTGCAATAAAATAAAGCTTTAAAAATATATCTAGTGAATCCAGTAGATGCATTTTCTGGAGGAATTAGTATCTAAAAATGTGCCTGGGGCTGCTTATTCTTATCAAGTGGCCTCACCTATTTTGATATATGGTCCTATTAACTAGAATACGGCCCCTAGAACACTGCTCAAAGCTATGTGGACTTAGGTTGAAACAAGTTCTCTACTGCTGCTGTCATTGCTTAGGTCCCATTCTGTGTAACGGGTAGGTTAATCCTAGGGGTTCTTGTCCATATCATTGCTCTCTGAATTGACATGCAATCTTCTCTTTTAAAAAAATAGTACTTTACAACTTAGCAAAGAATTGCAGTGCTTTGTTTTGTTTTTTAGTCCAGAGGCAGATCCAGCAGCAGAACAAGAATCAGAGGCCCATACCTATCACCATCTACTACTGTGACATTATCTGAAAGTGAAATTATCTCATTAAGGGCTTAGGTAGAAATAGGTACTTATCTAACAAATTGAGTTCTACATTGAGAGGGAATTTTCAGGAATATCCAAGTTTATTTTCACATTTTTTCACTTAAGGAATATGGTATTACTGAGGCTGAAAAACTAGAGATTGCTAAAGGTTACTGCAATCCACTATTGAGGAAAATTCGGTCTGATCTTCAGAGGACTCAGGATGATGATACTGTTAACAAACTCCATCCTTTGTAAGTTATTTTTTTTACATTACTAAAGCCCTTATATCACAATAAATTTAGCTAAGTGTTTAGTTTAAAATGATAGCCTCCAGTCCTTCTATGAAATCTATATAATTTAAGCATTAAAAAAACCTATGGTCTTTATTTATACATGATCACAAACATGGTAAATTGAGGCACTTTAACTTAATTTCCATTACTTTCAAAGGTAATTATGTTTTAATATTTCACATGTCACATTTGCAGTTTGGCTCCTAGGCAAAGGTTCTGATAAGATTCTGGTTTTATTTTTGATCAAGGATGTGCAGATTTTCAAATACACACAGCATTATATTCTGCAGCTTAAAACAAGGGTTTAGCTTCAGATAATTCAGAGTGTAAAGTATATATTTTTCTTAAACATAAATGTAGCACTGATTAAGATTTCAGAGTTCCCCCACTTGAGATTTAGGTCCAAGGTAAGTATGGATTCATAAAGGCTGTATAAAATTTAAGCACAAAAAAACAAAAATATATTGTTTTATGCCTAGGTTAATTAATCATGAACAGGAGAAAATTGATACAGAAGCTTAAACGGTGTGCCTAATTCATTATTATTAGTAGAAAACTGTGGGAACGTTTGTTAGTTAATGTTTAGAGTTTAGATCTAGAAATTTTAGATTGTTATATTTAGATGCAATATATGGTGCCCTTTATTCACTTCTGCAATTTTATTTTTAGGTATTCTAGTGGGGTTATGTCTCCTGAACGTCATGTCCGAACTAGGCTGTACTTCACCAGTGAGAGTCATGTCCATTCTTTGCTTTCAACTCTTCGCTATGGTTCTTTATGTGATGTAAGTTTTTCAGTGGTATTCCTTTTCAGAATCGCTGAAGATATACAAGTAGGCACATTTAATAATCAACTCAATAAACTACTTATTCAATAATATTTTTTCTTTCAGCAAATAACCTGAAGAATTATCTAAATAGTCATCACAGTTGACTTCTAAACATTTCAGTAATGGAAACATTGACTGATTAGCTTGCAAAACTCATGTTACCTTTTTGTGATTTCATTGTGGTCTAAAACAGATTAAAATACTAGTTAATAGATAGGACTAAACTAAGGTTTAAAGCCATATTTTGTTGAACAAGCTTAATAGCCTGGTGTGCATGTTAATGAATTTGCTAGTAAGTTAAAAATAATATGGAAAAAATAAATGTTTTAAGATTAATTTCTGGCTGGCTATGCGTCTTTATTTTTTTGATGTTTTGCTTGTCATCACTTGATAAGTTAATATATAACATTGAATTATAAGATAGATCAATTGAAAATACATTCAGAGTGCCTATATGGTACGTACGCTTAGGATTGCAACTTACAATTAGTTTAATATAAGGTAAAAAGAGGGATCAACACAGAGACATTACTAAACAAGTGGTACGTACATTTTTTTGTATCTAAGGCATCAAAAGATGAACAGTGGAAAAGAGCTATGGATTATCTCAATGTTGTCAGTGAACTCAATTACATGACCCAAATAGTTATCATGCTGTATGAAGATCCAAATAAGGTAGGAAACAATAAACAATAATTTAAGACAAAAGCCAATTACATATAGTCAGAATATAACCTGACATCCATTTATTTAGGAGGTTTCGTCAGAAGAACGCTTCCACGTGGAGTTACATTTTAGTCCAGGAGCTAAAGGCTGTGAAGAAGATAAAAACTTACCATCAGGTTTTGGTTACAGACCTGCTTCACGGGAGGTAAGTGCTTTTAGAAATGTTTCTCATATGAAACTTAAAGAGCACTTTTCGTGTCATTTCACAGTATTTGGTTGCTTAAATAAAAATCTCCAGTTTTCTTTTTGGTTTAAGTTTAGAAACTTTTAAATATATTTGGAGATGTATTTAACTATTTTAAGTCAGTCAGCATTGCACTTTTTCCATGTAATTGTATAAAATCAGAAGCCAGTCTATTAAGTGATAATTAGCAAGGACTTGCATTACAAAATAAATTAGAGTGCTGTTATAATAGAATTGATACCTTTGTTATTAGGTATGTTTGATTTAGAGTGCTTTTCAATATGGACAAGGTATAATAGATCTTGCTTAAGAACTGTCGTGTTTAACTGACCATTAGAAATTAACGATGGCACTGAAAAAATAATTTCCTGACTGATCCTCACATTTACAAAATCCCCACAGTAAAGTGATTTAGATTTGGGCACTTTGCAACTGGTGGGCATTTACTATCACAGTGTCCTGCAGTCATGTAATTTCCATTTGTGTGCTTTGCAACTGGCTTCCAACAAGCAGAGTCAATGGAGAAGCTGGCAGTAAAATCACAAGTGATGGTCATGGGATGTCTCTCTTAACATTACTTGATTAATAACTGAATGGGAATGACATTGTAAGTGTGTCATAGTCGCAACGCTGCACAATTCTAGTTAGTGTCATGGTATTTAATATTCAGAAGAATGATGCTTTTAGTATGCTTGATGAAATTTTATAAAACATGAAATATCCATTTTCTTGTAGAACGATGATTCAAAACAAACATCCCGTAGAAATGAGAATGATGAGGACCCCCATGCTTATAAAAGAGATGAAACTGATCGTTCAGTAATGATGTTCAAGCCAATGGTGTCAGATCCAATTCATATACACAGGAAGTCACCCCTTTCAAGACCCAGGAAAATGGGTTCAGCAGAAGTAAGTTTAGATATCCCACTAATTTTTAAAATTACAGTACTTCCCCAACTAATCAGTATAATTAATGTTGGTGATACTGAAAAATTAGAAAACGTACTAGTATTATAGTGATTAGTTGATTGATTATGTACCATCAAATCACTGTCAACTCCTAGCAACCATAAAGATAGATTTTCTCCATGACAGTCTGTACCTAGCCTGGCCTTTGAGGTGTGCACACATTCCCACAATAATCTTGTATATAGTTTACTTAATTATAATATTATACTTAATCGGGAAGATAGTCAAAGAAGCAAAGGGAAAATCAAGTTTTTAAATATATGTAAGAAAGTCTGCATTACTCTGAACAATAGTTATAGAACAGAATTAATGAACCTTTTGTAGATTTCTGGAAATTAATCAGCTTTGAGTCCTACACGCACAATTAGATAAAGTGGGAATATTAAATCAGTGTTTCTGGCTGTGTAAAACTGATAATACAGCAATACATGCATAACATGCTCACTTTCCTTCACCAGGTATGGCATAATTACTCTTGCATCGAAAGATTGTACTCGCTTCCATTCTTTGACCCTTATTAGGCTTTTAAAAATTAATTCAGAAGCCTTGTTTATGTTGACACGATGTCATCTTTCTTGATTGCTTGGTTGATTATTTCTACTATTTTTATTTTTTTGTTTAAACTTTTTAAGATTATTTACAATTGCTTACTTAATTTATTTTGTACCATGGATGTTTTAATGACATGATTATAACCTGCTGAGAATATTTGAACTACAGTATGTAAAATATCAAATAGGTATGGCACAGCATCAAATCTGGCCAAATTAAGCACTCTCCACTGAGGCAGAAATGCAGTATTAATAGGCTGAAATTCTTCCCAATAGACTACTGTCATTGTTTTTGGAAGATGTTCTAATTTTTTTTCTGGTAGACATTGACAAATATATATTTACCTCAGTTCCATTTTATCTCAAACCTAAGGAAAACCAAAAGTTGGACAGAAAAGTTTACAATATTTTAGATTCAGAATATGTTTCTTCAGGATAATAAAAATCAGAGAGACAAGCAAGCCATAAATGAGAATAAAATTTAGCCTAAATTTTAAATTATAGAACTGCATGTGACCCTATAGAGAACCTAAACCTGATTCTACATGCAATAAAAAATTGAGATGCTCCTAGACATTTGGAATATGGATTAGCAAAAAATCGTAAAATGAGGTCGTCTGACTCAGGAGGAGAGATTTGCTATAATAAACATATTTCTCAGTAGTGAAACAGATTAAGGTGTTCACTGACCTTTTTATCAATGGTTTCAATGGCAGAAGAAAAACCCCAAACTACATCATATCCTGTATGCTAATATTTTACATTTTAATTCTGAGGAAAGAGTAATACTAGTACAGTAATTCCAAAAAATTTGGCAATGTAATGTAACTGAATTTTAGTTAGTAATTTTTAACCAGTTTAAACAGAAGTACTGCAACCAGTTTGGTGTAATGGTTAAGGCATCAGGCTAGAAAGCCGGAGTCCATGAGTTCTAATCCCACTTCAGGCAAAAAGCCAGCTGGCTGGTCTTAGGCAAGGCCAGTTGTGAGTTGTGGTGGCGCAGTGGTTAGAATGCAGTATTGCAGACTAATTCAGCTCACTGCTGGGAGTTCGATCATCACCGGCTCAAGGTTGATTCAGCCTTCCATCCTTCCAAGGTTGGTAAAATGAAGAGCCAGATTGTTGGGGGCAATATGCTGACTCTGTAAACCGCTTAGAGAGAGCTGTAAAGCACTATGAAGTGCTATATAAGTCTAAGTGCTATTGCTATTCCCTCTCAGCCCAGGGAAGTAATAAACCACTTCTGAAAAATCTAACCAAGAAAACTGCAGTTGCAAGCAGTCAAAAACTGACTTGAAGAGGGAAAAAAATCCAAACAGCTAAGAGCAATTGGCATTGTTTATCTAGGAAAAACTGAGGCATTAGATAATCTGGAAGTAGTGGTTTGACAACAAACCTTCTTTGCTTTTGCTTTGTACTCCGCAGCAGAAGTGGTCAGTTGTCCAAACTGTCCATGGGTTCTTATGGCATGCTGGGAACTATAGAAAATCTTCCTTTGTCTGCTGTAGGTCTTAATATTTTGGCAGTATTCCGTCTTTGTACTACCTGCCATTCCTCTCAGTCTTTAAAAAAATATCTTCTGCTTTGTGCAAGTTTTGTCTGCCTATAAAGGTCTATTAGTAACCATTATAAGAACAGTAGCTCAGGTTTGGCAGAGAGAATCGCTTAAACGATGCTTAAATGTAGCAAACATAATCAGGTAAGCTGCCTTCAGTGGCATTCACAGTGACAGTCACTGGCTTCAAAATGAAAGCCTCAGCCTCTTTTAATGTGCTTTGCACACATTGCACACTTCCATTTTGAAGCCAGTAACTGTTGCTGCAGACATCTCCAAATCCTTACTTGTAGGGGCTCTTCCTTCTGTCAACTGACAATTCAGTGTTAGGTCCAGGGGTTCAGGATTCACAGTCCAGTTAATGTGAAATCTTGTGACATAAACTTCTATTTTCCAACAATTGCTGTACATAATGTATGTCTTGTTATTTTGAGCCCTCCCGTCTTTCATCTAGCAGTTGCACTGAATTCTTTTGACACAAGAACACTTCTTAGTTAGCTGGTCTGTTGTAACTAAATTCTGTAACCTGTCCTTCCTTTACTATATTTCCATAGCATTTGTCACTTACAATAATGGAAAAATGTATTACTATAATAGCATAAATACTTTTATTAAATTTCAACAGCTTATAATTTTTAATAATATATGAATATTTTTGAAACATGCTTTCTTTCAGGATGCAAAAAGATCTGCTATAACAGTATTTATACCTATCCTCTCTAGATTTTGATTTATACATGTGAGTTCTATTAGTTCTATACCAATTAAAATCTTAATTTACTGAAGGTAGTTATTTGAAACTTCAATATGGAAGCCTGAAAATATTGTTAAAGTTACACCATATTACATTTCTTTTGAAAGCATCCTTTGTATACATTTAAAGGACATTGTCAAATTCTTTTCATCTCAAAGAAAAATATTGAAAAATGTTATTTAAAATAAAATATTTTTGTTACAAAAAAAATTGATAAAATGACTTCTACTCACTTTTTCTCTAGATCCTGAGATTGTTACCTTCAGTGTATATCAACATAAATTATTTGTAATTTTGTCATTTATAAAGAAAATTTGTTATTTATTTTTTTTAAAAATATTCCTTGTGAACTTGATCCTGATACTTGATACTTAACTATCTTTCAAGTAATATACTGTATTGAGATTTGTGTGTATGGAACATCGTTGATGTGGAAGTTTTTTTTACTGGTGACTCGTTTCGTTCTTTTATCTGCACTTAAAACTAAAAGAAGAATGAGGCTTAACCAGACTATTGATTTCACTGATTTCTAATTAGAAAAAGTTAATAAAATATATCTTCAGCTTTAAGAAGTTATCTGCTACTGCTATCGAAGTTCAGTTATATAATTTCCAAAGAGTTTTTAATTTTATTTCATAAGAATACTGCATTAATGGTATAGGATGCAGCAAAAGTGTATGTATGTGTTTGTATGTATGTTTACCCAGAATTATGTTTATGTCTAAAATACACACGCATACACACACAGTTTTACTCATTTCTGTGTAGACTTTTAAAAATCACCATTAATATTGCTGATGTACCTGAAGCAAAACCAGTAGCTGAATAGTTGCTGATGGGTTTTGTTTGGTTAGAATCGAGCTATTTAGAAAAGAGTGGAACTATATTTTATTTTCTTACCATTTAGCTCTGACTCTAACGTTGCATGCTTTGCTGTTTTTTTGCCCCCTTTCTCATTTCCAGGAAGAGAGCCCCCTGAGTGTGTCTAGCCCAGAGTGGCTGCATTATACCAGTGGTGTGGGTACTGGGCGTCGAAGACGCAGATCAGGGGAACAAATCACTTCTTCCCCTGTCTCCCCTAAATCATTGGCTTTCACATCCAGTATTTTTGGCTCATGGCAACAGGTTTTTAAACTTTACTTCATTAAACGTTACTGTGCATTCCAAGCAGGAACCAATTGTCTTTAAGGACATCTAATCCCTTGTTCTGGATTTTGTTCAAAGTAAATTACTTCACCTTTCATTAAAATATGATTTTAAAAATAATAGTTACTTCCAAAAATGCCTGGGGGGGAAAAAAGCAAGTGCATGTCTTTTTTTTTTGTTCGCTTTTTCCTACACAATTTTCACTGAACGTATTTGGTTATGGAATTGGTTTCTTTTAGCACTGTATGGATTATTATGGGTTGTAGCCTAATGAAACAGACCTAAGCTCTGGCTTAGCTGTCCTTCAAGGCTTTTTTTCCTAAATAAATAATAGCAGAGCATCTAATTTGGTGACAGGCAAATCTAAATGGTTTGGAAATAATTGGGTTATGCTATATTTGGGGTTAGAAATAGATAATATTTTCAGTTGTCATTAACTGTGCAGGAAAAAAAATCATTAGTATTAATCATTATTTTCTCCACACCTTAATTGGATATACTTTTTTCCCCTCCCCTCTCTCCTCCTCCTCCTCCTTCTCACAGTACTTCACCCATTGTCATATAAAATATACTGAAATGGGAAAATGAATATAATATTGTATATTTAGTTAAATACGTTAGTCAAAAGGCTAATACTTTAAAGCAGTTGTATTGTTTATACTAAACAATGGATGGTGTTCTGTTGTGAAAACTTTTCTTTAGAAACTATGTTGTTTCTATTTGCTCTTGACTTTTTAAAATATTTTGATGTAGAGAATAAGTATTAAGTTTTGAACATCAGGAATTCATTCTCGTAGGGCTGCATATGGTTCAGTGATTGTATGGTGACTTCATCAGCCTGTCTGTGTTTCCTCTTTTTTTTTCCCCCTTCCAATACAGGCGCAGTTTAGGAGTATTCATTTGGTAAACTAAACTAAAATGATCTGTGTTTTCATAATTTTCTTGGTGTCTGTCCTGTTTTATCATGAATGCCTGCTTGCACCACTTCATTGCAAGGATCTCATGAGTGAAATGGAACCCCTTCAGCAATAATTGCATGATCTTTCATATTATGTTGGTATTTCTACTAACCCATTGTATGGCTTTTTAATACTTGTCTGTCTTAGCAGGTGGCTGTTTCAAGTTTAATGGATTCAACCAGCCCATTAGACTGCTTTCCTTATTTATCTCTTTCTTATGTCCAGGCACCATCAGAAAATAATAGTCTTTTTCGACCTCCAAGAACAATTGTGGAGCAAAAGACCAGTACTATAGGTATGTATATCTAATAAAAACCTATTTTTTTGAAATAGAAGTACCCTGGTTTTAATATTGTTCTGATAAACTTGTAGGTCTGCAATTCAGCATCACACTAATTTTAATACCAACTGATTATTGGATCAATACCAAAAACACTTAAGATTATTGGGATGATATTCCTTTGTATCAATTAAGATGCTCTTGAAAATCAAGCCATTCTTATTTTCCTTATTTGCTATCTTCCTTTTTCCTTTAAAACAACAGTAAAAATTCTTTGCACTACCCCAAATTCCATCAACTACAGCTTTCAGTATATAAACATAGATAGCTATTGTAACTGCTGTCTTATAGCACATTTTATTTTAATCCAGATACTGTTTTCTAAATAACACTGCAGAAGAATACTGATTTTATTAAATCATACTTTACTGTATTATCAATATTGAAAGCATTATTGCCTTCTTCATCTAAAAAGATTTCCAGGGCGGGTTGCAATAAAAATCAGAAACCAACAAAGCCATTAATGCTTTACAGGTTTACAGTAAATGATTTCACAAATCCAAAAAGGGATGATGAAGGAAGAAAGGAAAAAGTCATCACAAGTTACCAGTTTTCAAAGCTAAAATTCTTTTTATACACTCTTTAACTGGGAAAGAGAACCAGCTCAGTGGAACTAGTCTTCTAACAGAGCAAATGTAGAGGCTTTTCATGCTCAGCATTCACTTCCTGCAACCTAATATGTTGCCAGTAGTACATTGTTGATTATTTGTGTTCTTAGATATAGATGATCCAGTTTGTATAACACTTTCAGAACATCCAGAATTATAAATATTGTCAAATAATTTGACATGTAACCAGTTAAAAATTTCTGAATTTCTCTATTAAATTCTTTAGTCCCTCAATACAGCCTTTATTTGGTGTTAATCATATCAGAAGTTTCCTTAGAAAAATGTATATACATCAGGTGCTCTTGGTTTTTTGAATTTACTTTTTCTAATTTTCAGTCTTCCTCTCTATGCTATATCATATTGTCAATGTGAAAAAAACACCTGATCTACCTATGTGCATAAGTGAAGGTGCATCTTTGGTTCCAAAATTTTTGCTACCGATGTAGCACTCATTTACATTGGAGGGGTTTCATCATCACAGGTCCTAGTAATGTTTTGCTTTTTGTTAGGTCATTAATAGCTACTGCAACTCCTTGCAGTTATGGGCATATATGGTTAAAGTTATATAGATCAGTTTTCAAATATGGTAGGAAATTTCCCCCGTTACAAGTTCCATTGAGAAACACATTATATCAATAGTTGAAAAAAATAAATTGCATCTACAGTAGCCTCTTTTGTAACTTTTAAATGTGAATTAGATAGTGTAGATATGCCACAGAAAAAAAAACCTTGTATTATTGTATATTAATACTACTTTTTATAAGTAAGTTTTTAGTTATTAGCAAAAACATAATTGTTTTATACAATTTCAGTATTAATTTGAAATTAATATATTTTAATACAAGTAGAGTGAATTTAGCTACTGGGTATATTTCATAGGATCTATCTACCAAAGACCCAAATGGATGTAAACCACAAGCACATTGTTTAATAAATACTCAAGGATTCCAGGAAAATTTGCATACGAATATGTGTTCAGTTCTGCTGTATCTAGAATTCTATCTTCATTTTTTTTTCCAGTTCAAGTACAGTTTCTGAAATCTAACCTTTATAATTCCACTCTTTTTATTTTATATTGCCTGCTTTTTCCTTTGCCAAGTTTGTTTATCCTTCATTTAAGGACAGCCTTTGGTAAAAAGAACTTTTATCTTTGGTAAAAAGAACTTTAAACACAAATTATTATAGGAAATTACTGTAAATATCACTAAGATGCTACAAGCATAATGTAAATCTGTCCAAGGCAATGCCACAAGGTGCCTTCTATGTGGTAAGATCAAAGTGCTTGCATGCTGCATGCATCCCAATATGAATAGAAGAACACCTGGTTTTTGTATGTATTTTCTCTAACTCCCATCAGGGTCTCACTGTGCGAGCCTGTTTAGCACCTCAGTGCTCGGGGGGTCTTCAAGTGCACCTAATCTACAGGATTATGCTCGTACTCATCGTAAAAAGCTGACTTCTTCTGCCTGCATAGATGGTATGTGCACACTTTCGCACATGCATTTACATTTACACATGCCCTCTATATTGCACACTAAGGAACATTTTTTTAAAAAGCCTAAATCTTTTGACTGAGAAGAAGGCTAGGTTATTATTTGTCACTTTAAGTACAGTGAATCTTACTGCCTATTTTTTCAGCTTTAGGTTGAGGTTAATGTTTCTTCAGTTCTTCTGTAACATATCTTCTGAATAAAAGCTTTAAGAAATACAATCTATACAAAATATTAACATTTTGAAGTATCACTTCAAAAGTGTTTTGAAAAATGTATTTTGAAAATTCTTGAAATTGGTAAGGAATGAAACAAAAAATATAGATGTTTTAAAATTATAGTTTAGGCTTTGGACAGTTAATGGAAATGACAGCACAAAATTTTGAATGGTATTGCAATATTTTCTAACATATTTGAGAATAAAAATACATACACCTTTTTTCTGCTGTCACTACCTGAACATTAAATGCCAATCATGCATAATTTTGTGCATCGAATTTGCAGTTACTCCTTTAAATCCATGCACTCCATTAAAATCCTAGTTAATGTCAAGCAAAAGTTATTTTTAAATCTATTTGGCCTATGCACTTTTTCCAATACCTTTTGCATGCCACTTAATTCTAACCTTTTTTCTTATTTCCCTTCTTCCCACCTTCCTGTCTTTTCTTGAAATGTCCCCCTTCTCTGGTAGCTGGTTTGAATTTCAGGTACCTGTTTTTCTCTTTCTCAGACACCACACGTGGTTCTGCTGTTAAAAGGTTTTCTATCACATTTGCTCGACACCCAACCAATGGTATGTTTTGCTTTTATTTAAAAAAAATATTCCCTTGCTTCATCCCTCTCAAAAATGGGATGCATATTATTATCCCACTATCTTTCTACATTCCATCTTAAGCACATAGACATTTATCCAATTATTAGGTATGGCAATTAATTAATCCCTTTTCATATATTAATTTCATTTTTTAAATTCACACATCAAATCTTTTGGGGAAATAATATGAAAAATTAGTTCAAGTCTAATTATACACATTCATCCAAATGACTGTTGCAATGAATACATCTTAATACATGCTTTTAAAAGCTCCTTGGACTCTCTTCATAATATTCTTTGCCTTCTTGCTGCATTAGATATTTTCATCCTGAACCTTTGTACCACAGCATAAAAAAATGTCTTGCTAAATCAGATCAAAGTGCATTTTCTTAAGCATTTTGTTTCCAATAGCAACCATCAGATGGTGTTGAGAATTGCAGAAGGCAAAAAAGAAAAGGCATTTCTACTTCTTTTTGTCTTCAGCACCCCAAGCTACATTGCCTTTAAACTTGGGTTACTGTTTAATTTCATTAACAGTTATTGATAAGAGCACCTTGTTAATTTAAATTGTCGTTTAAAATAAAATCTATCAATCATCTTTCTTGAAATTGCATTGCATTAAAATAAAAGTTAAAACAGTACACTATACTAACATTATCACAAGTTGTTTCCCTTATTTAAATCATCTTCCCATTATGATGGAACCGGGTTTTATTTAATCAATATATATAGCTGCATTCCCTTCAAGACTGTGAATGAGTTCAAAACTGTTCTTGTTGTTGTTAAAATTAAATGTTGGGGAAAAACAACCTTTTTTCAGTTCCCATATGAAACATTTTGCACAAACTTTTCCAGAATGAATCTTTTTATTGTAGAAACTGAACTGATTGCCACACAATAATAATGCTCCCTCAGTCCTTAATTCAAAATTTTCCAGTACTATTAAGTAAGAAAAAGATCAATAAGAAAAAAAAATGTGGGGTCTTACTGAGGTTATAGAATTATAGTTAACTCTTTGATACATTTGATTATTAGAAACAATCTAAATAATGCAGGAAATACTTGACTTATGATCATATAGTTGAGCCCAGAATTTTGGTCATAATTCGTTGTGGTCCGAAGTTGATTGGACTTGATTTTATGACTGTTTTTACAATGATTGCTAAGTAACTCACTGTGGTTGTTAAGCAAATTAAATGGTTGTTAAGCAAATCACATGTTCGTAACTTCAAATCCAGCTTAGCCAATGGGTGTTTTTTGCCAGAAAATGGCAAAAAAGTTGTAAAATGTGATCATGTGACCACGGCATAGTGCATCAGGTTGCAAATTGTCAAGCACCTGAACTGTGATTATGTGACCATAGGGTGGTGCAACAATTGTAACTTGAGGATAGTTGTAGCTTTTTTTGAGTCCATCATAACTTCAAATGGTTGTTAAGCAACAGTCAGAAAGCAAGGACTGTCTGTAACAGGTCTACTTTAGTTACGAAAAATATTTTAATGACATTTTGTATATATTTTAAATACTGTATGGATTTGGAAATTTGTTTGAAACATGTGAAAACATGTTTGAGCTCTAAAATTAAGCCAACTCAAAAGAGAAAGAAGCTTAATGCAATAATGCAGAGCAATAACGTTGGATTTTTAATGTTAACTATTACATATTTGCATAAGCAAGAAAATTCTGTTTAATAGCTAAATACATTTCATCTAAATTATGTTCTTAATATACTTTGTATATTATGCACAACTACATTACAAAGCTTTCTCTGATCTATTAAATACGTTTCTTAGTATCTTTAATAAATTATTGTATGCTTTAGGTATTCATTTGAATGTTAAAGATACTCTTCGATACATTGGTACTGACTCTTAGGGACAGGCGTGGTTTATTGTCTTTTCCTCACCTTTTCATTGGAGCCTCTCTTTCTCTTGATTTTGGTAACCCTAACCTTTTTTTCAGTCTTTCCCTTTTTTTCATCTTGAGTAAAAGAAATATGGTGAAATCAGTACCTACTGACAGTGCTTTACCTTTTCTGGGCCTCTATGCAGAGCATCCAGACCTCTATAGGTGCTGGTCGGTTTCCTCTGAGGAATTTCTAGGCTCCAGTGGTATGTCTTTATAGCTTTCAAATGTAAGACGGCAGGGTGGCTTTCTGTTGCTGCGCTAACCCTTTCATTGTCTTCCATTTTGAGATAGAGATATGTCTTGCAATAAAAATTACCCTAGAACTATTGTTTAATTAAAAGCTGGGCTTGTTTTTAAGACATTAACTTAAGAAAGAAGTTTTCTTTTTCTTTTACACAGAAACAGCCTCTTAGGAAATATCTAAGAGCATTTGATAATTAGATAATAGAACTGCTAAAGGCTGAGTATATGTGTGACTACTTAGTTCCCACAGTATAGCCAAGGAGAGATACTAATTATAATACAATTTTCCTGTACATTTTTTTCCAAGGTACTGATATCTAAGCATTTGGATAGGCATGAGATCTTTAAGAGAAAAAATAGTTTGTTATAAAATTCTTTCTTGCAATCCTGGAGTTACTTGTGTTTATAGATTTTTCTCTGGTAAAGAAAAGCTGCAGTTCTTGTGGAATTTACTGTAATGCAAAGAAAGGGTTTGCGCTTGCCTGCATGTATACTGTTGTAGTTTATTTTACCAAGCATTAAATACAATTAATTTGAATTATCCATAGAAACTTAATTGCTACGATTAAACCAAATGCCCAAATATCCTTAATAAATATTACTTTACATATGAAATATTATAGTTTTAAAAAAATAAGGAAGCAAAAGTGATATTGAAATCATTGAGAGATTGTGAGTTAACATTAATATTACATTTTAAATGTGTCCTTGTTTTTGAAATAAATGCCTTGAAAATAATTTAGAGATCTAAATTATTGAATGAAATACAGTTTCATTCTTTAAACAATATAATTTATGGACATCATTTTGTGGGCCACTGTCATAATCAATTCATGAAATTCCTTTAAATATCTCATGTATGTCTGTATGTATACATATACACACAATCAACTATTTGTTTATTTGTTAAGTTTTCTTTATTAAATAGTAGAATACCTATAGTTTTGTCTAAAATCATTATATAATTAATGAGGCAGGTATTATTTAACACATGTAAAGTCTTGCATGTTGATATTTTATGAAAGGAGCTTTCTTAAATTTTAACTCAGAATTGTATAATTTAAAATCTTCCAAATTATTTTCATATTTGGGTGGGAAACAGTTTCATTGGTTATATAAATGCTTAGGATATATTGCAACATTAACTTAACTAATTCTTAAATAGGGCTTTTGCTAAAATGCATATATATGTGACTGTAAGACTACAGCTATGTAAGTTATGGTTAAATTGCTGCCTAATTTAAATATGCATGTTCTATTAAGTTTATATAGAATTATGAGCTTCATGTGAAATACCCTCTGAATCCTTTGGTCTAAGTATTGCTTTAGTTTGTGAAGTGGTCAGTGTATTTATATGTACTGTATTTATATACTTGAGTGAGTAGTTTTTGGCCATTCTTTATTCTCTTGTTTGACATGTACTATCTCTGAAAATTTACATTATAGAATCAGGCAAAATTTTGGAACTACTTTTGATGAGAACAAAAGAATTGTCAAAATCAGAAATCTGCTGTGTTGAAAAGTATTTCACTACACATGGCCTCGGGTAGTTTTTTTTTTCCTATTGTACCTTTAAACTTCTGTAGATTACTACCCAAAAAAAGAATTCAATGCTTCAGGGCTTTTATGGTAAAAATCTGTGGGTTTTTTTTCTTTTTTAGGCTTTGAATTATATTCCATGGTGCCTTCAATTTGTCCTCTAGAAACTCTCCATAACTCCTTGTCTTTAAAGCAAGTGGATGAATTTCTTGCCTCAATTACAGCCTCAACCTCGTGTGAAAATTTTCCACATACATCTACAGCTTCCTTTCGTAATTATTTACTATACATTCTATTTTTCAAACTGCAAAACATTGCTAAGTGTAGACAAATCATTAAAAAATGAGAATTAGCACTTTGAGTTGCTTACATATCTCTTTATATACCTAAGGTTTAGAAGAACAGAATCTAAGTGTACAAAACAGTGTCTAAGATAAATAACATTCTATAGCCATAAAATTCAGATTACAGAAGGGGCTATCTTACAATTGTATTAATTTGCTTGTTTGTTTGTATAGATTTAATTTAAAAAATACTTGATTCCAAACAATGCAGGGTACATATTCCATCCTAAGGTCTGTTGAAAAATTTTGATGGCCAGACCTTTAGTGGATGCTAGACAATTTCCAAACAAATATGCATTTCTTATTTCTCCTTTGCTTTAGGATTTTGATAGATTCACTCAGCTGAATCTTGCTTAACAATACTATACAATTGCCAAATTTATGTGTTTCGAATATAATAACAAAGGTTATTTCCATCTCTACAAATACTGAAGATCCCCACAATCTTAAGTTTCTTGTATTATTTCAGCCCCAACAACAATCTCTTGTTCAAGACTACTTTTTAAATCAGCTTCACCTACATCTGAAGACTTGAAAGAACTTATAAACTTTTCCATGTACCAACTTATATGATATTGTAATACAGGTAGTCCTTGATCTATGACTACTTGTATTACAATATCACATAAGCCTATCCATTACGGTTGCAAGTTTTGATTATTGTCAAGTGAGACAACTATGTGATCATCTTGCTTAATGAACCCAATCCCTGTTCTCCCTGTTGTGGGTTGTTAAGCAAAGCATGAGGGAGGCCCTGGGAGGTTTAATGCAGGCCCAGACCTGCACTGCAGCACTTTCCCAGATGTTATGTGGTCTGTCCTAGGCCTTCACTACTTCCTGCAGCATCCTGTGCTCTGCTTCCCACCACACAGTTCTTACAGGCCTTGGACTTGCTTTCCCACCTCAGTGAGTTCCTGCAGGCCTTGCTCCTGTTTCTCAACCTGCTGGGTCTCACCCCATCACAGATTAGTCATTTATCTTTTGATGGATCTTCAGTAAGCAGCTGCTCTGCCACACGGCCGCCTTACACAGTGGAACCCATGTGGCATCAGCCTGGAAGTGGGTGCCATTTTGGCAGTGGCCACAATGAATTGTGGCTGTTCCAAAATGGGATCCATTCCCAGGATGGTATCATTTGACCTCCACTGTGTAGAAAGGCCCTATGGCAGAGTGACTGCTTGCCAGAAATCTATCAAAAAGTGAGTGACCAATCCATGATGAGTGGGAAGTGTGGGACCTACCAGGGTGGGAAGCAGGCCTGCAGGTATCAGATGGGACAGGATGGGGGAAAGTTAGGTGTGGGGGGGGGATGCAAGCTTCCCTATGGTCTGTGGATTGCCAAGTGCTCAAATTTTGTTCACAACCTGTGAGGCCCTGTAGCAGCTGTAATTTTAGGCATGGGTTGTAAGTCCATTTGGTCATAATTTTGAACAGTCGTTGAAGTAATATCATGTCAAGGACTACCTATATACAGGGTAAGGTGTGGACTATTAGAGGAAGACCCAGATTTAATTCCATGGAAACTCACTAGAAGATAATACATCATGTATAGTGCCTGGAACTCCTGAAAGAACAAGAGATAAATCTAATGAATTAAAAAAATATAAATCTATAGCCAAATATACAACAGTAAACAATATCCAGCTGCTCATACTGATGATTGAAAATCCCAGAAAGTGTACTTCCACTACTATTTCAAAGATGATCTGTCCAATGTTTCAATGATGTGGTTCATGATCTAAGGGAGATTGAATAATTTTATTTCCTAAAGATTCACATAGACATAGAATAACAGAGTTAGAAGGGACCTTGGAGGTCATCTAATCCGACCCTCTGCTCAAGCAGGAGAGTCTATACCATTTCAGACAAATGGCTCTCCAGTCTCTTCTTGAAAGCCTCCAGTGATGGGGCACCCACCACTTCTGAAGGCAAGCCATTCCACAGGTTGATTGTTCTCTACTAAGGAAATTTCTCCTTAGCAGTGCTCAAAAAAATAATGTGGTTTTGTTACAGAACTTATCCTGCCCCCGTTAATCTTTTAGGTTCTCCGTCATTTATTGAATCCATTACAGAAAGAAAGTGTTCTTTAAATACATATACCCCTGCTAAAATCCAACCAACAACATTTGAAGACTTTGCAGGGCGGAGATCTGTTGAGCGAAGCCCCTCAGGTAAGTAATGCTTGAAGAAGTTTAAATGTTCTCATATCAGTAAGCTTTTAATTGGTCATATTTTTAACAATCAAATTTATATATTTTTAATCTAATTGAAATCTTTACAAACCTGATTTTCTGTTTTATCTGATCAGCATTGAATTAAAAAGATGAGAAATGTTTTATTAGGCAAAACTTTTTTTAATTTAACTGATAACATATAAGTACAGGTAGTCCTCAACTTACAGCCAGAAGTGAGATAACAATCTTCAGTTATTAAGTGAAACAGTCATTAAGCAAAATATCACAACTCATTTATTCAACAAATGCAATCTTGGTTTGAATGATCCAGAAGTAGTGTTCCCCATATCTTGCAGATCTTGATTTAACTGTCTATAGTTGAAAGTATTTTGTGTGACATTGTTGCTCATAATATCTTGACTCACTATCATTTGCCAGAACTGTTTAGTCTGCTTCCAGCTTTTTTCCTTTCTTGGGATTCCATTAAATATTAAAGCCATATGATTAAAAGCCATATGTGAGGCCAATTATGTAAACATTTCTGTAAGTTATGCGTAGTTATAATTTTAAGTTTAGTGGAGGATTACCAATTTTTAAATTGATATGTGATGTAAAACACATATCCAGAACTTTGTTTTAAGAATGAATCAAAAAAGTGGATAAACACACATTTAAATAATTTAAAAAATTGAGTAAACTCTTGATCTAGTCAGGTTTGACAAGGAGCTTAGTTTTAAGCATTAAAAGGACTTTCAGCTGTTCTGATTTAGTTTTGCTCATAAAATATAAGCATGTATTTTAATGGTGTGCAAAACACCATTCTGAATTTAAACCCAGTTATTTATAGTACAATGCAAATTTCAGACAGACTAGGTGTTAGAGAAAAGTTTTGAACTCATTTGTAGAAATTGTTTTGAATTCAGAATGAGGTGTTATGAATTCAGCTTAAAATTTGACTGAAATAATATTTTGTTTCTGTACAGATGCCACTTGCTCTTCAGTTCCTGATATTTGACTGTACCATTAGAAGACAAAAAGGATTTAAATAATACTAGTGTGATGTTAGTAGTAAAATGCTTTCTGAAAAGAAACTAAGCACTTCAGTCAAAACTTGAAGGAACACTTCATTGCCTCTTCTATAACGAACAAATCCTTAAAGAAAAAGGCAGTTTTTGAAATCATATTTGCCATACAGAGTGTGTTTCACTGTATATAAAATAATTTCTGGAATGTATAAGTTGTATATTTTCAGGTTGAAGGTGACTTCCTTTCTAAAATATAAAAAGCAACAAAGTTTACACTTGTAATTTTAAGGTACTGATATCTTAAATATAAAAACTGCACAAAATATTTTCATCATTGTTGTCTAAAATATGCACACAATGCAAAACCAAAACAGCCTAGCATAGTAGTTTGTATTGCAGACATAGCTAGAAAGGGAGAGAAGACAAGAAAGATTTTTAAAAGGCCATTATTTGGAGATAGATTTACAATAGGCCTTTTAAAAGTTTACAATAAGCCTTTTTTTCATTACCAAGAAATATTAACATGGCTCTGGTTAATGGCTACTTTTCTGAATACTGATCCCTAAACTAGAATTTAGCAACTTTCTGGTACACATGCATGTTGTTTGACTTACAGATGAAAACTGTTTAGGTTCTCGGACTTGGAAAATGCAAGAAAAATTGAACAACCTGCTGTAGAAACTAATACTCTAAAGCTAATGTGTCATATATTTGGAGTCATGTAAGGACTAATAGCATCTATATAATATTGTACAATTGTATCGTTAAAAGTTAAATTTGGTTTCAGTTCACAGATCAGCTTCACTGAAGATTTATTCTAACAAAAAGAAAACATTTTTAATGCTAATGTATTTTATTTCAATTATTTTCTGTCAGCAGCAGTTGTATAGGGAACAAAACCTTGGTGTTAACTCCATTCTGTTCAGTCTTTCATCTGTCAAATGCAAGGTTTAGACTTTAACCTCTCTCCATGCTTCAATTTAAATATGGTTTCTGGAAGTATTGCATCCTTTTCTATTATATTGGGGTACCTCTAGTGAGATTTCTTAGCTAAAGTTGCACTGTCCAAACCTGTGCTCAGTCTTGGTATTGAAGTACCTCTTTCCTATTTGAATATGAGGCATTTTGGGAGTCAGTCATGGGCAATATATACATGATTTACCACATTGTTTGTTTACATCAGTATCTAGAATTTGTACAAGTTTATTCTAACCTATGCTTTAGTATAGGGCATGAATTAATTTTGATTACATTATTTATGAATTTATTTCTTGTTTACATACTCTCCAAAGGTTCTTTTTTTAAAAAAAATATTTGCAACACAGGTTTCTGCAGAATACTGTTTAAAGTATATTCCTATAAAAGGTTAACAGGGCTTTAGAAAAGCAGAAACAGCTGGTCTGTTTACATTCATGATTGTAATTTTATATATCTGTACATGCTGTCATTTGTTGTATTTTCAAATGAAAAGAAGTTGCAACAGAACCAATTCTATGAAATTAACTGTTTCATCACTGAATGTATGGGCATAACCCCATATAGAAAATAGGCATTATCACCGATCTTTTAATCATGCCTACTTGTGGACAATGTTTAAAGATAATAATCAGCATTATCAGATCTCCCAAAAACTGGAACTGTGGTTTTTTAAAAAATTCAGGTTTGTCAACATCTATATATTAATTGTCTTTTGACTTACCTTATGTATCCTGTTCAGTTATTGAATGGTTAATATATTTTCAGTCTTTGCAGTAACTCTGTAATTTATGAATGGCAATATTTTCCTTTATGCTGCAAGAGGCCTGGATTCAGTGCCTTTATAAGAATAAAAATACTTCTCATTCAGTAATTTTCCATAAAAGTGTAATTGCTTATAAAGCTTGCCATGGCATTGCTGTGCATATTATATGGGATTATATAAGCAATTATTAAGATACCAAATATATGATGGGTTCACAATTCTCATTGCATTCATCTTCTAAAATACAAGTTTTTAATATGGACAATGTTTGTCTTGCTCACCTATGAATGTATATGTTATATCTTTTTTCTATACAAAATGTTGTTTAATTATGTGTTAACATTCCAGTCAACCAAAGCATTGGCATAAAAATTGAACGTGCTCTTGAATAAAAGAGAGTCTGCAAAAAAGCAGCATCCATTCTACTTGATCTTTAACAGGATTTTTTTATTGCTACTCATGCCTATACATGCTGGTCAAGGGTCAACAGAATTCAAGCGGTATTGGACTTAGTTCATTTGTGGCTATGTAGAGTTGATAGGCTGATTCCTCTTTTGATTCTGCCCCCAGGTTCTGCCACTCCTCCTCCTACAAAATAGTGTGTTAAAAACAGCTCTTCTGTATTCAAATCAAAATGATATGACACTTTGGTATAAATCTATGCATTAGTATAAATAAAGGGCACACCTCACTATGAGCCACAGTGCAAAATATAAGAGGGATAAGCTCTTTTAATTGACAGATACATGTAATATTCTGGATGTTTTTCAGGATATCTTGTTCTTCAACTATCTGAAAGGATGTGACACTAGATCAAAACCTGTTAACTATTACGTAAGAGTGCCAAACACACAGTAATGAATGGAAATTATAGGAAAGCAGATTGATTATAAGAACACCATTTCCTAGCAATTAGAACAGTTTAACAATAGATCCAATTAATCAAGTAGTTGTGGGTTCTCTTCCCTGGATCTGCTTAGGCAGTGATCTATGCAGAATGTTTGCTTTGATGTTAGTGACAAGGGAGTTGGATTCAAAACGTTAAATGGTCTCCTGTAATTCTACAAAGATGGTTCTTGCTCTTTTCCCTTGTGAATCTTCTTACAAGACTGTAAAGACTCTACCCTACACTTTTATCTCTTCCCCTTTTCCTCTCTTATTTTACTTTCATCTTTCTTTATATTTTTGTATTTTATGCTTTGTAAAAAAATTAATAAAATTTTGGATGGTTAAAAAAAGACTGATAAAACATTTCAACATTAGAATGTCTAACCCTTTCATTAATCAAAATATTTTAAAGATTTTTTCTGTGCTCTGTAGTTCCTTTGTTAGTAACATAAAATAGTCTAAATTCAAATTTTCTCAGAAAAATAAATTTCAATTTTTCGTCAGTCTCATTTTAGACTACTGTCACATTTGCTCATTACTGTTTATTACTTTAGCTCACTGCAATAGAATTAAAGCTATTAATAGGTTTGTACCAAATTTTATACTGCCTTATTCTATATTTTGGTGACATTTTAAAACAGCTTTAATATGCTTAATAGCTATTGATAGCTATGTTAATGATTTAAACTTAATGAAACATGCCTTTTAATTTACAGAGGCATAAGTAATACCATGATGTCATAATGAAACAGCTATACATTTATTGTTGTTTATACTGTTATGGAGTTATTACTATCTGGAATGTCAGTAGATTGTGGGTTGCCAAGTCCTCAACTCAGATACTATAAGATATACTGTAAAATCTTCAAAGATGTGATGCTAAATTGTTCACAGGAAAGTACTATTTACCAGTAAAGAATATCTTTTTTTAAATTTGGATCAAAGGATACATAATTATGATACATTAGATTTGTGTGACAGGAAGAAATTCAGTAAGCGTAGTATCCCACAGTTATGAGTGGTATCTATTATACAATTTTAAAGGCATAGGATTAAGCATTGCTGCTTAATTGGACTATGGAGTGCCAGGCAGCTTTCAAGAAACTTAAGCGGCTATTTGCAGCAGAACCCATTCTAAGATATCCGAACACTGATGCCCCCTTTGTGATTGAAACAGACACTAGTGATGTGGCTGTAGGGGCTGTATTGTTAAAAGAAAACCCGCAGGGAATCCTTCAACCCTGTGCCTACTCCTCCAAAAAACTAACTGATACAGAACAAAGGTGGGCAGTATGGGGGAAAGAAGGCTTATGCAGTTTGATGGATGTTACTGATGTGATGGCACTTAGAGGGGGCTAAACACCTATTTGAAATATGGATGGATCACAAGAATTTGGAAGCTTTAAAAACCCCACTAAAGTTATTCCAAAAACAAGCCCGATGGGCACAGTACTTAAATTGGTTTAACTTCTCCTTACTCTCTATTCCAGGGGGAAGAACTAGCAGATGCCCTATCCATGTTACTGCAATACAATAGTGCCAGACCCAAATAGTCTGTCTGGCCATTCATTCTAACAAGCTGGCAGCAGCAGTGGTTAGGAGGGCCCAGAGAAAATCAAACCAGACATATCCGGTGAAATGCTAAACTTAGCTAAAATCAGCTCTAAAAGATGAATGGCTAATAGCCCGCAAGGAGCAATGCACCCTCAGGGACAGACTTGCTTGGGTGGGGCAAAGCTCTATGTCCCTGCCTCGTGAGCCAGGATTTTACAAACCTGCCATGACTCAAAAGCAGTGGGGCACTTTGGATTTGTAAAAAACCTGTATTTAACCAAAGACAATTTTGGTGGTCATCCCTCAAAAAAGATATTGAGAGCTATGTGGCTAGCTGCCCAGTATGTGCCTCAGCAAAAAGATGGCCAGGGAAGCCCATGGGACTCTTACAACCAGTGGCGAACTCCCATGTTCCCTAGAAGGAAATGTCCATGTAGAATTGCCTGAGAGCGCAGGGAATACCGTGATTTGAGTGGTTATGGACCTATTCTCAAAACAGGTCTAGTTTATCCCATGTCCAAAGATCTCATCAGCCTGTGCCTTAGCCAGACTCTTTATCCAAAATATGTACAGACTCCATGGCATCCCTGATAGCATAATTTCAAAACAAGAGCTACAATTCACTTCGTGGTCTTGGTGCGAGTTTTTAAAACTAACGGGAATTGTCCAAGGCTTAAGCTCCCCCCTCAAACAAATGGGGATGCAAGAGAGCCAACTCCTTTTAAAACAATACCTTAAATGCTATATTATCAACAAGATAATTGGACTGACCTACCGTTTGCAGAAGTGGTATATACATTCAGTGCATAGCAGCACTGGGTTTACTCCATTTAAAGTTGCTTTGGGCCAAGACTTTGTGGCAATCCCCAAACTACCTCTGGAAAACCCCCAAAACCTCTTGTCAGAATGAATACAACAAATGCAAAATACGTGGCCAGTAGCCTGCAAAGTGCTAGAGGAAGCACAAGAAGCCTATAAATGGGAAGCTGATAAAAAGCATGCCAAACCAAAGGAGTTTAAAGTGGGCGACGAAGTGTACCTTTCTTCAAAATACATGCAATCTACCCAACAATCTAAAAATCTGGATCCTAAGTATATAGGTCCTTTCCCCATTAACAAATTGTTTTAGGTCTCTTTCATGGATGCTTTTTATCAAGTGGGATCCATTCTATGACTGCCTTGGTCCACCTGCCATCTCTCTCTCTCTCTCTCTCTCTCTCTCTCACACACACACACACACACACACACACACGCCCAAAGACCTGCAACACAAAGACTTAGTGTATTCAATGATATACTAACTTTAAATCTGTATCCTGGAAAAGAATTGAGAGAGTCCCATATTGAAATTCTCATAAGCCCATAAAACATATGAATTAGCTTTAACACTAGTTCCTATCATCCTAAGTCAGGGCTTTTCAACCAGTGGTACGGGTACCACCTGTGCTACATTGGCACCTGGCAGGTGGTACGCGACCATCCTAGAAAAGTAGCGGAGGAGGGGAATGAGCTGAACCGGTGGCAGCACTGCACAAGCCTGAGCAAGAGATGTCTGGAGCTGCAGGGCTGTCAGGGTTCAGTGGAAGCGCCAGGATCAGTGCCGCTTTCCAGCTGATTGGTGCTTCGGTGCGGTCAGGGCTCAATGGAAGCGCCAGGATCAGCACCAGGCTCCAGCTGGAGCGCGGCGCTGATGCTGGTGCTTCTGCTGAGCCCTGAAGAAGCACCAATCAACTGGAAAGCAGCACTGATCCTGACGCTTCTGCTGAGCCCAGAAGAAGCGCCGATCAGCTGGAATGTTGCAGCATCTCCAGGGTCTTGTGATTTACATTCAGATGCTTGGCAACTGATTCATATTTATGACGGTCACAGTGTCCCAGGGTCATGTGAGGTGACCAAACCCTGCTGCAACCACCCAGCAGACGGGGAATAAAAACCAAACACCCCCCTACCCCCGCTGCCAATCCTCAACAGAAATGCTCACAACAATGAAAACCTCGGACAGGAGGAAGAGTGCCGCCGGGCGCTGTCTTGCTCGGCTGTGGCTTGGGGGGCACTTTTTTCAGTGCCATTGTAACTTCGAACAGTCACTAAGCGAACTGTTGTAAGTCGAGGACTACCTGTACTTTATCACTTTCTTTTTTTTGGTCAAGTTTTTGACCCCTTGCTAGGCGACTGGTGGTACTCGGATGTTGCCATATCCTAAAAGTGGTACAATGGGTGAAAAGGTTGAAAAGCCCTGTCCTAAGTTACCTCATATGTCATGATGTTTAAGTGAAATGAGAACTGCAACCAACAAGCCACCACTGAGGCATAAACATTTGGAGAGAGAAAAGGAGAAAATTTCTAAGGAAGAGCTGATGGCTAAACCAGTCAAAGTGAAATGGAGACAAGAACAGCAAGATGAAATCTGGACTACTGAGAAATGTAATTATCTTTAGAAGACTTTACTCAGTCTGAATTTAAACAAACACATTAAGGTATAGTTACTTAAGTATATGTTTCCTTTCTATTTAAATGTATCAATAAAAACATTTGGATAACTCACAATTTGTTTGAAACTGAAATATTTCATTCACCCACCAAGAGCTAGTTCCTTCAGAACCCTGTTACCAGCCTAGTCAACATTTCAGGGTTTGTTTTTTTAAAAATCCAAAGAAGGGAAATTTATAGCAACAACAGATGACTAAGTCTATCCAGGAAGGAAATAATAGTATTAAGAAGGCATAGGAGTATTTAGTTAAAACCTGGCCAGAAAATGGGACCATTCATGATGACTGGAAGAACAATAAAATAGAGAAATAAAAAAAAGGAAATATGGCACAAGAAGAAAAAAACTGTGTCAACTTTCAGTTCAAAAAAGAAGCATTATAAAGTAATGCTTCACAAATTTTCCCTCATTATCCAAAACAGCTTATCAGAAAGTTATCAAACTTAGAGGACCATCTTATTCCTTCATTCAGGATTGATGTAGCTGAACAAATAATCCTAACTCAAGGACTATCTGCATTATAAAAACACCACCACTGACTAATGTTCATGTTATTTCAACAAAATATCCATTGATCAATTTTTGTCTGAATAGGAAACCGGCAATCTTTAAGTCAATTAAAATATCCATCTTGTGGTGGGTAACGGGTTCATGCATTGTTACCCAAAGGGAAAAAAAAACCTTCTACACAATAATGGGTAATTTATCCCGTTTGGGAAGCATTATTATAAAGGAAAAAAAGTTGACTTTGAATCCTAGTGATTTTATTGATCTGTCCAGACAGCTTTCTTGACAACAGGAAAGAAAACCTTTGTGTTCTTCCAGGATGTTTTCAATTTTCCAGCGAGGTCCACCAGCCCTGGTTATGTCCTACATATTTTTCAAACTTGGAAACTTTTAAGATGCGGGGACTTCAGCTCCCAGAATTCCCCAGCCACCAACAGCACTAAAAGATTCTCATCCAAGTACTAACAGTTTAGGGCAGTGTTTCTCAACCTTGACCATTTTAAGGCATGTGGACTTCAACTCCCAGAATTCCACAGCCAGCAATGCTGGCTGTGGAATTCTGGGAGTTGAAGTCCACATGCCTTAAAATGGTCAAGGTTGAGAAACACTGGTTTAGGGCTAGGGCCGGTCAGCCACCTGCGGAGGCAAATGGAGGCTTACACGTGCCTGAGAACGTACGGGCTTTATTTCTAACTTAAGAATGTCCTGGATTGAGATAGGGAGAAAAAGAGTTCGGTCCTTCAAAGTGCCGGCAACCTTCTTTTCCTTCTTTATGACCTCACAAATTCCATCAGCTCTGACTAAACAAAAACGCGCGAAAGGCGGCGGCGGCGGCGGCGGGACCAAAGACGGGTGGGAGAAAAACGGCGCCGTTAAGCGAAGGCAAAAACCAGTTTACGCGCTCCGCATTTCCCACGGTGAAGAGCCAGGCCGGGAAATAAGGGAGGCCCTAGCGAAGGCACCGGTGGGCGGGGGGACCGCGGCAGGAGGAGCGGCTCTCCGCCTAGCCACGCCAAGCCCAATCCCCGCCCCAAGCCGGCAAAATAAGACAGCGGGGAGGGGCTGCCGCTTGCCTCTCGCTTGCTCTTTAGCCTGCTCAGCGTCGAGGGCGGCGGGAGGGCGGCCCGCAGGCCCGGTATCCTGGACCTCAGGTAGGAGAGCGAGATGGTGGGGTAGGCCTGGGAGGGGTGGGGCGGCCGCGAGACCAACGGCGGCGCTTGGGGCCGGCGGAGGGTTTGCGGCGCGCCCTTGGCAGCCTGCAGGCGGGATGGGCCCCGGCAGCCGTAAGCTGCGGAGCGGGCGGGCGAGAGAGGCGGCAGCATCAGCCAGGCCAGGGGTAGGCAACCTTGGCTCTTTTATGACTCGTGGACTTCAACTCCCAGAATTCCTGAGCCAGCCAAGCTGGCTCAGGAATTCTGGGAGTTGAAGTCCACGAGTCATAAAAGAGCCAAGGTTGCCTACCCCTGAGCCAGGCGGACTAGGAGCGGCGGCGCGAGGGTGAGCAGGCGCGCTCCCACCCGCTGACTGCGGTGCGGCGTTGGCCCAGCCCTCGTGTGCCGGCGGAGGGAGGGAGGGAGGGAATAGGTGGGTGGGCGCCACCTTCGAGGAGTCGGGGCTTGTAAACAGACCGGGCGCGCCTTGCTTTCGGTGCGGGAGCCGGAGGCTGCCTCTTAAGATTCCCGACGGCAGAGATGAGGTCGCCCGGTTCTCTAGAGGTCACCTACGCGCGGCTGTAAGGTAAACACTTCCCCAACGCTGGCTGGGTTGGCGTGTGCCCGTCGCATCCGTGTGAATGTCGAAATCCCGGTGCGCGCGCACCTTCTCGAGCATCCGTGACGCAGTGTGTTCATTGTGTCTGCGTGTATCTGGATCGGCAAAGCGACGTGTTTGGGGGGGGGGGGGTTTCGTTCGGAGAACGTGTGGAGGGTCGAATTCTCTCGCGTGCGGTATTTATAAAACAAGTGCAAATTGTCTTGGCCTACTACTTTATGCCGAGTGTAGATTGTGGGCGTATGAATACGTGTCTTTTGACTTTAAGGTACACTTATTTAAGCTTGGTGTAGCTTAGCATGTATGATGTTCGTTCTTGGACCAAAAGCCTTTGCTTCTTAGATATTTTAGGACGTGTTCAAGATTCAGATTATTAAATTAAATAACATTCATATTCGGAGAAGCAGCCCCGTCTATATTTCAACGTGCTGCTAGTTTCAGTGGCTTTTATGGAGCTTTGATCCTTGCTGTATCCTACTTATTTTGCATAGGTAGGATATATCTTGTAGGATATGTCAATGTTTTTCCACTATATATGGAGTCCAGCTCTTGGACTCAAGACTTTAAGAAGCCGAGGAGCAAAGCCACGAATCTGAGCAAGCTTCAAGCTATGTGCAGCTTTTGATGTTTGATCCACTTGTGTTTTTCTTTTGTTTGCAATTTCATAGTAGGTAGTAGAGCTCTGAAGTTTTGCTGTCTATTTGCAGCATATACTTCATCACACCTGTCTATTCCCATTGAGAAATAGAGCTGATTCTGAAGCATAGTTGTTAAGCCTATGCGTATGGCCCACGTGCTTCAAGGACTCTCCATGGTACTGGTGCCTTGCCTCATTGTCCATAAAAGGAAGTAGCACTATGGAGAGCTCTTGGCAGCTACAGATTCCCTGCATGACACAGAGATCTCTTTCCTCTGGCTTGCATTCAAATGTATCTTCTTAGATCTGCTCCCCTAAATCAGATCTAAATGATGAGGGGAATCTCAGTAGAATGACTGCAAATAAAATGAATTTAGCATTTAGACTTGAAAAATGTAATGTTTTCAACCAACCGCAAAGTTGTTTTAAAAAAATGCAAATGCTAGAGGTTTTTTTTTTTGCAGATATGACAGCTGAATATTTTCAGCAAAGACTGCATACTATAAATAAATACTTTCCTGCAGTAATTTTATTTCTCAGCTGATATTTGTTTTCATAATCCCAGGACTTTTAATTCTGCAGCTTCACTCCTAAAATTTGAGTAGAAAAAGAAAAAGAAAAAAACTCTTAGTATATAAATAGTTACAATAATATATTTTAAAACCATTGTTAACAGTAGGTAAAAACTAGGCAACAGTAACATTAAAATATTAAGCCCAACAATAATACTAAATGTAAAAACATTGTACCCCAAAATCATACCCAGCAATCTAGTAAAACTATACATATTTTCTATGTTGGTATAAAATTGCTAAGCTGTGTTTTGATCTATTGCCATTTCCATAAGTAATTTTTGAACATGCAAAACCTGAGATCTGCTTCTAGCATTATACTTCACAGGTTCAGAAGATCTACTATACATTCTATAATACTTTGAATGGCAGAGGGTGAAGGAAAAGTTAATATCTACAGCATCATAGTTTTGTAGCTTGTCTCTCTTGATATTTAATCATGAATCCATGTAGAACAACTGAGAAGGTGTCAAGTGGTCTGTTATCCGACTAGGACTGAAGACAGCTCTGTGTACATGTTTGTGTGTGTTTGTGTGCTGTAGGTATGTATGTGTATTTCCTTTATTTCTCTAAATCTACAAACACACACGCATACAAACACACAAACATACAGAGAGAGACATAAAAAGGCATCAGTAGGTCAATAAAGATAAATCTGATACCTGGCCCAGTAGAGTAAGATTTAATACAATCTCATGCAAATGTAAGTTATCAGAGAGACATGCCAGACTCTAGTTTGGGGAAAAAATCCTTATTAACACTTATGCATGATTTTATGATACAGAATTATATGCTAGAAATATTTATATGGAAAGATACTGTATCTTCATTGGTACCCATCTGGCGCCCAGTTGCTTATGAATATATGTTATATATTTATTTGTAATCCAGTGTCCAGTGCCATATTTATATCCAGGAACACCTCTAGAACTTCTAGGGACCCTAGATAAATTTTAGAAAATAAAGGATGAGGATGTAGGAAGGAGACATTGTTTTGTTCATGTCTGATCCATTCATCCATCCATCCATCCATCCATTCATTCATTCATTCACTCACTCATTCACTACTTTTATTATTTTTATAAGTAACTCAAGGCAGCAAACATACATAACACTCCTTCCTCTTCCTATTTTCCCCACAAGAACAACCTTGTGAAATGGGTTGGGCTGAGAACAAGTGACTGGCCCAAAGTCACCCAGCTGGGACTTGATCTCAGGCTCTCCTGCTTTCTAGCCTAGTGCCTTAACCACTAGCCTTCAAACTTGGCCCTTTTATGACTTGTGAACTTCAATTCCCAGAATTCCTCAGCCAGCATGTTTGACGACCCCTGCACTAGAACAAACTGGCTCTCATTTTGCCATTCTTCTGTTTTACTTTTTGACTGATTTTGTTGGTTTTCTTTTGGTGTAGTCTATTTTTTTGTGTGCCAGTTCTTATTCATAATGAAATATATGTTGCCTATGTGTCATTTTCTCATTGGGTAGAGTTTTGCTTGTCTTTGAACTTCATCAGTTTGATTTTGAATTTATTTTTTCTTACAAACAAGTAAAAGTAAAAAAAATCTAGATTCAAAAGAAGCCCTCACTTCAGCTGTTTCTTGGGTAAGTTATATCCCTGTTAGCATAATTTGGAATTATTTTTAAATTGGTTAAAATGACAGCTTTAGCCATTTCACAAATGAGTAAATCCATTATGTAAGTGTTCTGTTGTAAGCTCTATATGTATTCTGAAATTGTCCACTAGATTTAAATTTTAGAAATCTTCAAATATGAATGTGCAAGAAACTGTTGAATTATACGTAGGATAGAGGTTCTGGAGAATATGACAAAAAATAATATGTATGAACTACATAAATATTTTCAGACATCTGTACACTGAAAACATTTCCAGGAAACATCTGTTGCTAGGGAGAGAATAATCACTAGGGACTAAGACTGGTTGATGTGATCTCATTTTCACAATGAACCAGGCTTAATTATCACTCATAAAAAAATATTTGAGTGATATTTTACATGGGTGATACGGCAAAAAAAAACCCTCTTATTCTTTTCTCGTACTACTGTCCTCTCAGGAAAAATACAGACTTGTATCAGTGGATATTTTTCTATTATAGCTGAGTGGACAAAAATTCTAGAATGATTCAACTACATCTTTGCTTGATGGTTATAGCTGGCTTGGAATTGCAGGGAATCTGTGTTTAGTGGGTTCTCATTAAATTGAAATATCGAACATTTTTATTATTGATATTCTTCAACATGTTAATGACTTGGATGAAGACGGAATGCTTATCAGATTTCATGCAAAAATTAGTGGGCTAGCTATTACTCTAGAAAGCAACAACAACAGAAATTTAAAACAGTCCAATCCTAAAAGAAATAAGCTGAAAGTTACTGAATGAAATTAAATATAGACAGGTGCACTTTTTCACTTAGGAAATAGAAATCAAAATACATACATACTGAATTCAGGTTACCTGCCTGAATGGCATTACATGTGAAGATGATCTGAGAATAGCCGTTAACTGCAAACAATATGAGTCAGCAATGTGATATAGCTGCAGATCAAGACAAACGCCATTTTATTCTACATTGGTCAAACCCCATTTTCAGCAATGTGTCAATTTAAGAAAACACATTTTAAGAAGGATTCAGATCAACTGGACAGGTCAAGGGAAGATCACAAGGATGATAAGAGGGTAAAAAAAAATCCTGCAAGAAGATATGGAAGGAACTGGAAATATTTAAGACTTTAGACTTGTGGGGGAAGGGAATATGATGGCATTCTTTGAGTCCCAGAAAGAATGTCACACAGAAAGTCAAAGCTGTTCTTTGTCATTTAAGAGTGCAGGGTAGAAATAATTTAAGTTGCAGGAAGAACTGACTGAATATTAGAAATTACGTCTTAACATTAAGAGAGTTTAAAAGTACTTACATAAAGAAGAGGTAGAGACTGTAACATAACATGAATTTTTTAACTTTGGATTTTTATACCAAGTACAGACACGATTGTCTAAAAATGACTCCTGCTGTGATTTTATGATTGCTTGAGTCATGCTCTTATCATGGTTTCTTTATAGAACAATATCCCAGTGAGGATGACAACCCTACTCTTTTTTTACTACCTGCTTTTCCTAACCAGGCACTGCCTGGGTGCATATGGAATGAAACACACAGAAATCTTGGATAAAATGATTTCTGAGCAGATCCTTGCTCTCTGGAAATGTTGACAGTTAACAACTGGAGAGAGACAAGTTGGTAAAACTACTGTATATTGTATATATTATGTTCTACGAAATTATACATTAGAAGAAATTTTTGCCTAAAGTATTATGATTAATAGCTTCATTACCCAAGCTACAATTTCTTGAATCCTTAAAGGGCTAGTACTTTATTCCTATCAAATATGACCCTACATGCAGCTAACTGGCTACTCAAGACTTAGAAAAACCATGCATCCTGCTTCTCTTTTGTTGGCATCTTCTGAAACAGTTCATAATTTGTGAAATTCTAAAAGTTTTTGTTTCCAGTTAGCATTTCCCCTTTAATTGGGTAAGTAATTTTCAGTTTTACAGTCTAGAGCAGACATGTCAAACTTGCAACGTCACGTGACGTCGGGCAACGTATTGGGACAGTTTTGCCATTCTCGGCAATGGGGTGGGCGCGGCTTCCGCATGACGCATCCAGCCTGTGGGCCAGCAGTTTGACACCCCTGGTCTAGAGTTCAAAAAGAAATTGCTGATGCTCCCTGGAATATTTTTTTATTACTCTTCTTCTCACACATGCATATATTGAATAATAAAATTAATAAAACTGAATTAAATCTCACTGACTTAATGGGTTTTTTGAACAATGGGTAAATATAAACTTTACAGCCATGAAGAGTTTTGTTTTGTTGAATGGCATATAGATTTTAGTCAGTCAATAAATAATGCATATGCTCATAATCTATAATCATCTCATAATGCTATTTGATTAATACTGTAGGATATCCTTCACTTAAATGATTCCTTCCAGATATGTTGTGACTACAGTATCCACAATTTCTAGCTAATTTAACTGGGATGACTGGCAATTCTGGAAACTGTAGCCCCAGCATAACTGGAAACCATTAGGTTGGATAAGGAAGTTGTAAGGACATGCAGACATTGTCATTTTTAATTCTTAAACCTTTTAGTCTGTGAAATTTGTGTGAGATTTGTTACTTATAGAACAGTAAGTGATATAAATATTACATTTTAGAGAAATCTAATGCTGAGTTATTCTTCTATATTTGTCAGACATTGTACTAAATGTTAGAGATCTTTATATTAAAATGTTATTCCTTACATTAAAAACAAAAGTTTGTTGACCTTCAAAATTATTTGTACAGAACAGCAAAGAAAGAATTAGCCAGCTGTTCTTCGCAATATTCCACAGTCTACAAGTTAGTGTAGACAGTTACTCAGTGTTATTCAGGCTTCATGTGACAAATGTACTTTCCAAGTTCATTGGCCCATATTAACAGCAATATTAGCATCACCATGATTTATTGCACAAACAGATATATAATTACCATGCTAATGACAGGCCCACAAAACTCATAGAAAGGAAAGTTTACTCCTTTAAAAATAATTACAGGTCACAAAGGAATAGCTGGCAGGCAGATCAACTGTTCAGCGTTGCAGCAGCAATGGAGCTGATTGTGAGGCCTGGAGGTACTCAGCAACATGCCTTTTGGGATGAAGGTGACTCCAAAAATCTAGGTAGTGGTGGATCCTTCCTGGCATCAGTGGATTGACTATTTTTTTAAAAATGCCAGCCCTACACACAAGGCTGCTTGGTAGGCTGCAGGTTGGGCAGATCTGCTAATGTACATCCCTAATAACTGCAGTTCAATGTGCCGTGCTTATATCAGTACATATTTTCTGGTCTTATGCTACATATAAATCAGAACTAGAATTAAAAAAACTCTGAAGAACAGCTATTCTGAAGGGCAATGAGACCAGAAAGAAGGCAGAAGATTTTGTGAATAATGTTATTTAAGGGTTGACAAAGAGGCTAACAATAACAGCATTTAAAAAATGGCAAATTTCTGTTAGTAAAATTAGATGCGGATGATTAGGCCCTCAGGAATATCCTAAAACTTTATTTCAGAGTATTCTCTCAAACCAACCAGAACAGTTGGGATGGAGAAAAATGAGGAAAAAGCCTACTGCATGATTTTTATCAAAAATAAAAAAAAAAACAGAATCAGCTACAAACACATCCAGGACTTTGGCTATTTACTCAGTAAAATGTTCAGTTGTGATTTAAAATTCATTGATCTTCAATTATACTTGCTATATAAATCATAAACTTCTGGATAGAAAGACGGAACACATACTCTGTAAATTGTACTCCTAATAAAGCTTACACATATAAAAGGATATGCTTTGAGAGTGCCCNATTTATTCAGTAAACCTAGTGAAGCAACCAATAGCTTAGAATAAGAACCTACCCAATGTTTGTCCCAATAATAGTAGGCCAGATTGAAACAAACAATTGCAGGGTTTTTTTTATCTTTGTCCTGCAGATGTTTGTGTGTGTGAGACAGATAGAGAGAAAGAGGGAGTGTGTTGTGGGTGTGGGTGGGTATGCGCGCGCGAGAGAGAGAGGTGTAATAAGCTGCTACTGTAATTCACTGGTCTTTTAGTTTGAGATTGGCAAATCCCAGCAGGTGCACTCATGTCTATATTTTTTTTAATTTGTGGCCCTGATAGTATATTTAGTGTAAATAACTTTCAAACATCATACATGGCATCATGATAAGACATAGGCTAGATAGTGAGAAGGTGCACACTGTTCTTTTCTCCCTACATGTCAAATTCATTTCAAGATTGGTCACTTTGTCTGAAATCAAAATTGCTACCATTTCTAATGATCACAAATGGAATTTGAAATCAAAGTTTTGACAGACACAGAAAATCTCCCAACCCTGGCAATGTTAGTGTTAGTACCACTTTATAATGCCTTAGTAAGACCACACTTGGACTACTGCATCCAGTTTTGGTCACCATCACATAAAAAAGATGTTGAGTTTCCAGAAAGAGTGCAGAGAGAAACAACAAAGATGATTAGGGGACTGGAGGCTAAAACACATTGCAGGACTTGGGTATGTCTAGTTTAATGAAAAGAAGGACACGGGGTGATATGATAGCATTGTTTCAATATCTAAGGGTATGCCGCAAAGAAGAGGGAGTTAACTTATTCTCCAGAGCACCTAAAGGCAGAACAAGAACCAATAGATGGAAACTAATCAAGGAGAGAACTAAGGAGAAATTTCCTGACACTAAGAACAATTAATCAATGGAATGACTTACCTTCAGAAGTTGTGGTACACAACACTGGAGGTTTTTAAGAAATGATTGGACAACCATTTGTCTGAAATGATACAGGGTCTTGAGCAGGGGTTGTACTAGAAGGCCTCCAAGGTCCGTTCCAACTCTGTTATTCTGTTAATTGTAAGTGGGGTTAAATTGTTGTTGTTAGTTGCGAAGTCGTGTCCGACCCATTGCGACCCCATGGACAACATTCCTCCAGGCCTTCCTGTCCTCTACCATCTTCTGGAATCCATTTAAGCTCATGCCTACTGCTTCAGTGACTCCATCCAGCCACCTCATTCTCTGTCGTGGGGTTAGATAATAGTGGCTTATTCATCCTCTGAAAAATCCATCCATTTGACCTTTTGGCATTTCAGAAAATAGATGTATACCAATGATGGCTGATATTCCTATGGGCAAAGAGTTGCATGAGTGAACATGTTTGTTTTGGAAATACAGTTCTGCCTTCCAAAACTCTCAAGCATCACCTAGAGCAGCTAAATTCCACAACATCTTCTATTGTCAGTACATGACAACATCATATCACAAAAGAAAATAATTGCAAAGGAGAATTATATTATAAAAGGTGGCAGTTAAGTTATATTATAAAACGTATATGATAAAAGGTGGCAACTAAGAATATCCCTTTGTAAATAAGAACAGCTTAACCTACTGACAAAAGGGCATCAACCTAATCTCTGGATCACTGCAGTTTTTATTAAAGGGTTTATTAAGACATAATCACTTTGTTTTCTATCTGAGCTAAATTCAGTACTATAAGAGCCCAGGGTCATGTGCTGTGGTTGAGTAGGAAGTAGAAATTGAGTTGGGGGCGTGGTTCCCCACAAACAAGAGCTCCCACTGAAAGTAATTACAAACATGCTAGGCTTTTTATTTGTTGATTAGCTGTGCATTTGGAATATTAGATTCATTTCAGTATAGCATGGAAAAAGATAAGCAAGGGCAGAGTTGCTTCAGGGAAAATTATTTTCCATTCCAATTTAGGTGGACTTTTGATCATATTTTAAAACATATATTCAATTTATTCCTGATGGGGAGATTCAATTTTGATTTGTGTGCCTTTCAAAATATTATACACTTTTTTATATAGAGATTTGTTTACTGCAAACAGCACAACTTACACGAACCATATTATTTTTGCATGAAATAAACCGTACCACTCAATATGCAAATCCAAATGTTTAGACAAAAGTATTCTGCTTTCATTTTATGTTTTATATAGTACCAGAGATATGCATAGCAGATTTGACATACTAAAGTCAGATTTAGACATCACATTAAATTGTAATGGTGGTGTTTTTAGTGTTTCTCCCACTTGGTTGCAGCATCCACTTGTTTTGTACTGCACTCGCCTAGTCCACACTCAAATCTGTCAATGCATGATGCAATAAATCTTGTTTTTCATTTGGCTTCTTGCAGAGCCTGAGATTGATTAGAGCTGAGAAGGAGTGAGTGGCCCAAGTTCACCCAGTGGATTTCTGTGCACCATTCTGTAGAGAATGGTTCAAGCCATCTTCTGAAAACATGGCTGTTCCTGTTTAAGGATTTAGTCTGCATGTAATGAAGAAAATTGAACACTGACCTAGCCCCTAACTGGTGGTAGTATGTGAAAATAAAAAGACATTTTGAATTTTATCTTGAAGATAATCCTTGCTTTTACTTTTTTCAGCTGTAATATCTAATTTGTTGTCTTGTGGATCTACTACTGGGGTAAGATCTGGTAACTGAAATACGGTTATATTCAGAACTATCATTATGATTACTGTTCACAGGTAATACTAGAGTGAGAGGATATTATTATTTTCAGTTTATGGATAAAGGTTGGGAGCTGAACCTGACAGGAAAGAAGAAAAGATAGATAAAGACACAGACCAGTGTTTTGCCAAAAATGGAATGCAAGTCCAGCTCCAGTCATCTCTTTGTTACCATGTGCTTGTTTACAATGAAGTCTCTGCAAAGTATGATCTAAAGACAGAAATGACTGCCATTTCTCAACCGAGACCAATTCCACCTGTGTTTGTGTCATGCTAATAAAGCTGTTTTGTATTTTTAGGTTATTGGATTCTACTTAAAATGGAAGTTGACATTAATGGAGAGGCCAGATCTATGCTAGCCCCTCTCCCCTTGCCTATTGCTGAAGTGAGTGCTGCAAGCAAAACAGACGAGAAACCTCGCTGCTCCAGCACCCCATGTTCACCAATGCGCCAGACTGTTTCAGGTTACCAAATCCTCCACATGGATTCTAACTACTTGGTTGGCTTCACTACTGGAGAGGAGCTCCTGAAATTAGCCCAAAAGTGCACTGTAGAAGAACAGAGTAATGTTGAAATGATAGGGCCTACTTTGCGTTCCAAACAGCTTGATGCAGGACTTTCTCGTTCTTCCCGAGTGTGCAAAGCCAGAAGCAGGTATTACCAGCCTTATGAGATCCCAGCGATCAATGGCCGTAGAAGGCGACGGATGCCCAGCTCAGGGGATAAATGCAGCAAGCCACTACCTTATGAACCATACAAGGCATTTCATGGTCCTTTGCCCCTCTGCCTTTTCAAAGGTAAAAGAGCTCACTCAAAATCCCTAGACTACCTCAATTTAGACAGAATGAACATCAAGGAACCAGCTGATACAGAAGTGCTTCAGTATCAGCTCCAGCACCTCACGCTCAGAGGGGACCGTATGTTTGCTAGGAACAACACATGAACATAAATCATCCTTCATTCTTCACTGCATCAAGATTGTCTATACAACGTAGGCAGTCATGCACTTGGTACCTGATTGGATCAGAAAAGTGTTATTAGATAATAGGAAGCATAGGAAGATAAGGTGTATGTTTGTGCATGAGTGTGTGTGTGTGTGTGCGCGCGCGCAGATGCGTGTGTGGAAACTACATGGAAAGAAAAAGGAGTTCTGAAAAATTCTGACAAGAAATTTATTTGGAATACTGTAACAAAACATGTTTTGCACATGGATACCTGAAATTTATGGCAATTTAACACTCAAAAATTGATGTAATGTGAATTTTGTTTCTGACTGAGCTTGCTGTAAGAAATTACTCATGGATAAGCATTGAAATATATTATTTAATATTAATCATATGTGCATATGCAATGAGTTTTGCATTATAGGACAAAATGTTTCACTAAAACCGTGTGCTCTTTAAAATAGTCCAGTTTGCACTCAGTATAGCTGGATTTGCACTGGGAACAAAAGAAAAAACAATCGCTAATGAAATTAAGCCTCAGTACTTACATTACTAGAGATGACTGTTTTTAAATGTATAATTGAATTACTACTTGCATTTCAAACTAATTTCAGTGTAATTTTTTTAAACAAAATCCTAAAATGTGTTTTAAAGAAAAAAATATTGAAAGAAAATCACTGACTTTAATTTTGTATGTTTTTTTAAATAATTATCTTAACACAGAAACCTTTATAGTGTGTGATGTAAGTATGAATATAGATATTTGTGTGTCAGTTTGTGTATATATATATACACACACACACATATATACACATACACTTGCACAAATGCTGAAAACGCATTTGCATCTGTGATATTCAACATTTAGATTTTACAGTAACAGTACTACATAGATATGATGATTGATTGTTATGACATTTTAGCACTGCATTTAAACATTCCAATTTATTTACAGCACTGATCATTACAATTTTGTCTTGTTTTGTTTTTCTTTAAAAAAGAAAAGCTTTTCAGGTTACAACTAAATTATTGATTTCTTCAAATGTACTGGTGTAAATCATCTCCAAACAAATCATATTTTACATTTTAATATTTATTGTTACTCTCTTTTAAGATATGCTGCTTATTACTGAAAGAGTGTGCAATCATGTTATGTTCTTGATCTGTAAATTATTTAGAAATGAAAGCTTAACTCTTGTGGATACGGTAAGGAATGCTTAAATTGTTTATGAAACAAAGCCTTTTTAAAACCATTCCTTGCAGATTTGATTTACTTGGAAAAGACTTGTTTCTTAAGAATGAATACAGAGAGCATATGCTTTGAAAGCATAAGGGTTGTCTCTTCTTTGACATCTTGTGCAAAAATTATGCCCAACTGGCAGTGCATAAATTATGGATCAGGTTTTTTTAACTTGAGAAGATGCTTGTAATTTTTACAAGTTGCATTGCTGTATTAGAGTGAAAAATGATTTCCTAAGGAACTACTCTGCATGGCCTTCTAGTGTAAACAGAAGAGTACTGTCCAATGCCAAAGAAAGGATTTTTACATTTACTGATTAAGCATAAATAATCAATATTAATTGATTTTATCTATGAAGCAACATTGACTAGAAAATAAAAGGGTAATATCCCTACTTTTCTGTGGCCCTTGGTATGTGTTGCTCTTTTAAAACCTGGAAAGAAAATCTGCCTGATTATATATCATTTTACATTCTTTCCTAAAAATGTATGTATATTATAAATGTATGCATCAATTTTATATATTTTCATATATATTGTAGGCCCTGACACACAAAAGGAATTTAGTTTCCATATTTCAGAAACTATGACATGGAATCTACCACACATTTAATATTCAGAGAACTGCTAAAGTCTAATCACTTTTTCCTTGCCATTGTAATAGCAGAAACAGCTGCATTTGCCTACAGCTCACTTTATAATGAGACTTCTCAGTGATTTTCTATTTATCTGAGAAAGAATTGCCCATTGGAAAGAAATAGCCATGGTATATGCATGAATCTGTTCTTGTTATGATGTGCAATGAATAACTGCATTTTGGGAGATAGATAATACATATAAGAGAATCCTCAGATTTGTTGTTATAAAATTTGCTTGTAAATGGTTGGCCTCACTTTATGTGGCTTTTGAACTATTTTCTTGAAAAAAAAGTTATTTTTTAAATTTTGTTTTTAATTTCTAAAGTTCTCTACATCTCTTAAGTCAGTTTCCTGGCAAGATAATCAGTCCATTGCTGACAACTTATGGGATAAAAGTGGGAAAATACAAATTTGACATTTTTCCCCACTATTTTTAAAAATTGTTCTAAAAGTTATTGAAACTATAGCATATCAATTTCTTGTCTTGTATGAAAATTTGTTTCAGTGATTGAATTCATTGCCTGGAGTTTGCTCTTTTATCACTGTTTTAAAAAGTTTTTTGAGAGTTGGGCGCATTTAACGCTAAATACATTCGTTTTATTAGATAACTTAACTTGAAATGCATATTGAATGATGATTTACCAAGAAAGTAAAACCTGAATGGAAAATTATGACCTGATGTTTTCTTACCAAGTAATCATTTATTGAGTTCATTATTTTTATACATGGATTTTTACAGACCAATCACAAGCCATATCCTTGATACATTGAGAGCATGCTTCCATACTTTGTTATTCCATTCACGTGGGCTCCTTCCTTTCCTGATTCCCCCAGAACATTTGAGGTGGCAGGTAATTCATAATTTTTCAATCAAGACTTAACGACAAACCCCAAAATATTAGCTATTGAGTTTCACTAGGAATATGGATTTTTCTCTTTCTATAGCAAGATTTCTTTATGAAAAAATGTCAATTTTTTTACCTAAATAAAAGATATCTCATTCATGCAACTGTGGTGGAATGATGAGGAGATGCCTCCCAGCCCAAGATGTGGTGAAGATTCGAAGATACTCTCCATTGCACAGAGGAGCTTTTGTGTAACTTGGTTGGTCTCCTTTATATTTTGCCAACTTAAAGGAAAGTAGACTGGTGACCTTGATCAAATATAGTCAAGTTTATGGCAAAGGCAAAAAAATCCCCTTCTCAATATGTGAGCACTCTTGTAGTCCAATATTAGAATATCAGACCTGAGAGGGAGGAGCAAATGCTAGAGGTTTTTGAAACATCGCTAACTTTTAAATTATTTTTAAAATTCAAAAATTTTAAAAAGTTTTTAAATTTTAAACTGTTCTTAAAAAGTCACTTAATATTTTTTCTATTTTATTTAACAAAATCTCTCTCCTGCTCCAATCCAGACATACTTGGCAATGAATAACAGGAAAAATACATAAAAACAAATCCATTTCTTTAAAAAAAAAACATTAATATGTTATGTTAGTGCTCACTTAATGATGATAGTTCTTATATATAGTCACAGGCACTAATTCAAAATTTCCATAATGTCTCTAGCTTAGTCTGGCATAGCAATATATGTTTTGTATCCCAACTTTCCCCCAGCACTCGTGGCACATAAATACAGCACTCCCTTTTCTTAATTTACGACATTGTAATAGGTCCACTACTCTTGCAGGAATTTTAAATTATCTATGATCTGTAATTTAACAAGGTGATTTGATCAAGGCAAAGGAAAGGTCTTCTGTTAATGTCATCTGTTCCAATGTGAAGACCAAATATATCCTGTATTTTGGATCTGCAATTTCTTGTGACAAGCCTGTGGTGAATATGAACTTACAAGCTACACCAGATTTCTCTTCCAGGGCATGGAAAATGAAGTTACTCAAGCAACAGTTAGGAACTCCAGCACCAGCACTGTGATGAGATCCAGAAGCTTGTGACACCAGCAACAGCCCTAGTTTGTCAGTGTATCCTCATTCCATTTATAGGCACTTGCATCTGGTTATATTTGAGATAGTGCTCCCTGTCTCTGTGAATGATCACAGCACACACGTACAAAAATGGCAGATCTCCACTTATGTCGTGCTCACCATCCTGAAGGTTTTGACTCTATCCTCTCCCCCGAAGCCAGTGGTGGCGAACCTATGGCACTCAGGCGGCACTCAGAGCCCTCTCTGTGGGCATGCACACCGTCGCCCCAGTCCTAGACCTTCAGCTGGGTTTTATGAAACCTTTTCACTTTAGGCCTCTGCCTCCGTGTGTTAAAAAAAAGGTTCAATCAATCAGTCAATTTCAACTCGGGAAAAAAAAAGATCATGCAAAGTTGGAATTGATTGATTAAACTTTTTAGTCCCACCCAGTCTGCCATTACCACTGCAGCCACGCCCACCCAATGGGCCACACCCACCCGGCACCTGATGATGCATAAGTGGGTTTTGGGTTGCAGTTTGGGCACTCGGTCTCTAAAAGGTTTGCTATCACTGCCCTAAGCCCTATGTAAGTATCAGATCCAGTCATTTGTCCATCACCATGTCAGATGCAGTTTTGTGTAGGGAAACCTGACATTTACCAACAGTTGAAGACTAAAATACCCTTCAACTTGCTATCTTGGCTCTAGGAGGGAGATCATTGGCTTAGAATGAACCTGAACTAATGTATGTATCCTCTTTCTTCCCCAACAATACACTCAGTACTCCCTGCTCTAGTTCCATTTTCTTATTATTGAGTCTCTGCTGTTTCATCTGCAGAGCTGCCCCACATGGCTCAATTCCATGACCACTCTTCTAATTCCCATCACCTACATCCTAGGGCCTTCAACTTTCCAGAGAACTTTAAAACTTATAAAATCCCTCCATCTCACTCCTGTTCTCTTGCCTGGAAAGGGATGGGAAGCTGACCTCAGCTTTCCTTAACTCTTGCCCAGAGAATGTACTCTTATATTTCAATCCAGGTCATCTGATAGATGTTAAAATAAATTTTCAGATGCTTCCCAGACTGAGTTTAATTGCAGCTGCAATTACCCATCCTGGCAGCACTTCTCAGTTCTGGCACCTGCAGACACGAAATCTTTCATCCCATCAGGGAAATCTTTCTGGATCTGACAAAGGTTCTCTCAGTGCCCAATATTGGGCCAGGACTATTCTAGGGAATCTGGGATTTGGGGTTTTTTTTGTTCACTATTCCTACTCCAAATATCCTTGTTGCTGCCACTTTGTAGATAATAGTGGTCATAGTTTGTGTTTCTCACCCTCCAACTCTTCCCTGTAAGCAGTGCTCACCTTTGATAAACCTTCTGAGGGCTGAAGAATCTAAGGCAGGTTTACATCATGTCCCAAAACAAAACTGGTTAACCAAAGCAGGTAGTTCCATTTCAAATGTTTACCTTGTGTCCATTCCTCCATCTTCATTCACCAACCAGCAGAATCCATTATGTATTTCTCTGCCAAACCTTGTCTGAAATCCTCTGCTTTTCTCTTCATATTTTTTCTTTCTTTCTTCACTAGCGCTCTCTTTTCCTATGTAGTCCCAATGGTCTTGTAACATACAAAGTAAAACACCTGCAATAAAGCCCTTCCTCAGGGATTAACCCTGGAACCAAAACTACAGAATCACCCTGAATTATGTATTCTTTTAGTCAGGGCTTTTTTTCTCATAGAACGCCCAGAACGGAGTTCCGGCACCTTTTTGGGATGGAACCTTGTAGGGTAGGCAAGGCGAGCTGTATGACGTTCCGGCACTTTTTTTTTTTTTTTTTTTTTAGAAAAAAAGCATTGCTTTTAGTAATAATGCAGGGTGAGTGTGTATATATAAGCCATAAAGGCTTAACAGAGTTTTACAATCTGAGTTACTGTAATTCTTTACAGCAGTCAGATTAGGAAATGTTATTGGGCATTATGCTAACAATCATTCTGCATAGCATATTATTATGGCACTTTTTAAAAATAGTTTTAATAATTGAACTCTAGCAAAAACACACTGTTAATTTAATACTTGGGTTTCTTGATTTATCAGGGTAGAAAAGGTTTGCTATAATATATTCACATGACGTTTACTGTTGTACAATTATATACACACTAAACTAGCAATAAATGCAAGAGTCCTGGCCTGATGATACACATAGGACCATACTGCAGTTTGTACTGGAGCACTACTACGGTATGTTAATCAGAGCAGCCCTAGAATTAAGATTATGCCACTGAACCACAATTTGGGACATTAGATAAAAATAAGTTAAACCTCCAGTAGACATAAGATCTGTTTATTTGCAGGAAAGTGAGGAGGGGGAGCCCAAAAGCTTACAAAGGAGTAAAAATCCCTGCCCCCCCCTCTGATGATCTCACTACCTTCTGTGCCTCTCAGCAGGTGGAACACAACCACCAGCAGTCCTTAACCACAGAAAGATAACCTGCCCTTGTTGTACTAAGGGTGGAAATCTATTCACAAAGGAAACTTGTAGCCTCCTCAGACTGTTCACTGGACTCCAACTCCTTTTTGCTGCCAATTACCAACAATTATTAAACCTCAATGTAGCCTCTTTTATTTCTAAACTAGTAGACAAGTTTTTAAAGAACTTAAAAGAACTAATACCCTCTTTAAAAAGGGAATATAAGAAAAAAATACTTATATGCTTACCTCAGTCTTTCAAATGCTCTCTTTTCTTACTACAGTCAGAGATAAAATAAATGCTACTCCATGGTTATTCCACTTGACGTTTCTTTACATTATTTCCTTATTTTTTTAAAAAATAGCAAGATTTCTGCTGGCAGATTAAAGTAATTGGCTAAATCTCAGCTTTTTTACACTTTTTGCAAAATCTGAAATGATAAGCATATTTATTACAATGTTTTTTTTGCTGTAGTCATAAACAAGAAATGCAATATTAGCAATAATACAAGATTTGCTGATATGGGTGAACAATGATGAGTATGGAAATATGGAAATCCAGGGAAGGAATATTAAGAAAAATTAAATGATGGGACAAATATGTACAATATGAAGAATTTCTAGTGAATTAGCCAAAGAAACTAACACTTGTATCTTCCTTAGTTCAACTTAAAAGGAAAACTCAGTAATGCATTTTTCCAATTTATCCTTGCCTCAGCCTGCAGGACTCTAGATGATTTGTTAATATTTAACAAATATTTAACAAATATTTAAAAAATAATAATAAAATAACAAAACATTAAGAATAACAATGTTTCCAAAAATATATTATACCAGTGTTTCCAAAACTTGGCAACTTTTAAACTGTTTAAATTTAAACTCCAAACTTTCTGAGCCAGTTAGGAAATTGTGGGAGTTTAAGTCCACATATACGTTGCTGAGATAGAGAAACACTGTAGGTGCTGACGGCTTCACAGCTAAGTCCCAAAGATCCTCCAGAAATGCTAGTTCTTACCATGTTCCCTTGGGAAAAAAGCAGTCCTATAAGAACTTCCCATAGACAATATTCACAGTTGGGTCTTCTTCCACAGCACCAGTTTGCAGATAGGTATCCTTAGCAGGTCCTTCTTGACTGTCTGAATTAGACAAACATAATCTTATTTGGGACGGGCCGTCTCACTATTAAGCCATATACTGAATACTTATGCCATGAGTATCAGTTTATTGTGCATTGTATTTTTCTTCTGGGCTGTCTCTTCAGACTCTTATTACTAAATTCAG